AGAGTAAATCTTGTGTAATACAGGGTCTTTAACCGACTTGTCTACACTGAAGTTATGATTTTCAGATTCCACAACAACGTCCAAAACAGAATCTGTACTTCCCTTAGCAACAAAAACTCATCCACAACTTTCACAGACGATTTTACAGCCCGTTTTATCACAGAGACAGGACTTTGACGTACATCTGTTTGGTTAATCCTCAGATAGTCGTGGTATCCTCGGCATTTTAAAACACAAATCTCCCTTCTTATCTCGCACATAAAACCAAGAAAACTGGCACCAACAAAAGCTCAGAGTAAGATGTTACGCAAAGGTTATGAGAACAGGAGATAAAAATGAAGTCAAGAGATCTGATTGGCTGAGAGCAGACGACGATAGATAAAGAAGCGATCTGATTGGTCGAAAGAAGACAGTAGCCTATGCAGTGAATATTTTTATTTTATGGGGTGGCTGGATACTAAATTTCAGCTAAAAAATCGTGATCTTTATGTGTTATTTTTATCAGAAGTGTCAATAATTTCGTGGGCCATCACAATGTATCGAATGTCAAGTCTCTTTGCTTAAATTCACTGATTCAAAGAAATAGAGAGAACTACATAGACCATGATCCTTTGCTCTGTTCAGTACAAATTACATGATGAATTCACTTTTTTACTTAAATCTTAACTTCTTAACGCCTATATTTTATCTCATTACTCTGCTTTAACTCTGATAACCGTACGATAACCAGAACTGTGAGCTCCTTTAGCAGAGAAAGCTCGGGAGATTCCTTATTTAAATAGATCCACGTTCCCCACCAGCGGTAAGGAGCTATGAGGTATCCCACAATCCACTGCAGATCAAACCGAACATTTACAAACACTACTGTACAAGTTCTACACTGCAGCAGATTATTAATCAAAATCTTAATCTAAATCTGCATGAATAAACTTTACATTACTAAACTTTACAACATATAAACAATAACGACTTTAGAGCCACATCAGCCATTTGAGATTATCATGTGTTTAAAGCAGTTTTGCCACATTTGTTTACGTTTTACTAGGGGTCGCGTTAATTGCGATGAATTAATTACAGTCATATTTAGCGCGTTATGTTTTTTCATCGCGTTAATCTTATTTTTAATCTCTAGCTTTACTGTTTCTGCATGCGAGTTGCCTTATTCTGTTTTCATGTCCCTTTTATGTCCCTGTCCCTTTAGGACACAGTCCCGCACTGTGCAGTCCTGCTCCGCTCGCTCCCGCAAAGAATTGTTAATTTTCATTCCCGTTCTCGCCGCATCTGCGATAAACCTGCACACGTCTGATCTCTGAAAACATCACGACACAGACACAGAACAGACTCACCTTCACCTTCAACATCTATATTCCACTGAGTCGTGTCCTTTAGTAGAAGCTGAACCGCACCAGGGCACAAGAGTGTTTTTTTTTTTTTTTTTCTTCTTCGCTTCGTTTATGCAAATGAGCCATGCGGTTTTAAGTTTCATTTCTGTGAGACTTGCACAAAGCTGCATTAAACACATTATAATGTCAAACGGGCTGATGTGGCTCTAGAGCAGGGGTGGCAAACTCATTTTGGTCCGGGGGCCGTATCCAACCTACTTTGATCCCAAAGAGGCTGGATCAGAAAACTCATGGCATATAAACCCCAAAAATATCAATAAGTTCAAATATTTGTGCAGAGAAACGCAAATCATTACAGAAATCTTTTTTAATTGATGAACTCTTTCTTTTACAAAATATTATAATATTATGAACAACCTGAAACTTTAAGAAAAATTCAATTTCAACACAAAGTTGAAATTAACATGAACTTGTATGCAAATAGGAATAAGTAAATTTTTCTTGGAAAATCCTGCACTCAGCTCCACTTTTTTTTGGACATTTTGCTGATGAGGGTGTCACGGTCAACAGTCAAAACGATCGTCCTTTAAGAGCGTTTGGAAAGAGACAAGTCTTCATTTGTGCTGCTCTGGTGGGAGGGGCCACGTACAGAGGCTCTGGAGACGGTGCTATGATAAGCGACGCAGAAAATTACCAATATTTTAATAGAAAATATTATTAAAGTATTTTAGTAGAAAATCACCCAAGGGCCACATTAAAGGTCTTGGAGGGCCGGATCTGGCCCTCAGGCCTTACGTTTGACACCTGTGCTCTAGAGTGGTGATGGTTTATATGTTGTAAAGTTGAGTTTATTTATGCAGATTAGTAATAGTAATAATGATGATACTTATATAAAAACATTAATGATAGTATGAAAATAATGTAATAATGAATTCAAATGAAAATACCTCAAGTTGAAGCTTTTCTCAGCAATTTTAGGTCAGATTAAAAAAGAGATTAATTAGATTAATTAATTATGATCTGTAATTAATTAATCTCAAAATTTTTTAATCGCTTGACAGCACTGTGTTTTACAGAAACAAAACTTAAAAGCACTAAGGCTAATCTGCACAAAATCAGGCAACCGGGCGAGAACAGTGAAGGCAAACAAAGGTATTATAAGCATTATACTGATATATACAATATGTCAGAATCAATTTTGTGTTTAAAAAATATCTCATTTAATTTTAAATATTGAGATATCGCCCACTCCTAGCTCCAGGTCTGTTTGTGAAGAGGAAACAACATTATAACATAGATCAGAAAACAGTGTAATATACAGTAGTCCTTTTAAACACGCAGACTCTTGGAAGTATATTTTATGATTCATGGAAAATGGTATAAAATTACTGTACAGGGCTCCTCCTTGATGACAGTTCTTTTCCAACCGATAATCTTAGTCATCAGTGTCTAAACCTTTTATTTTATTTTGTTCCCTACTTTTCAAAAGATAAATCATTTGGGATAGACTGAGTAGAAACATTCAGCAAATCATGTTATTTTGTAATGTTGCAATTAAGGTTGGGTATCATTAAGGAGTTGCCGATACGATACATATCTCGAAACATAGGCCACGGTACGATACATACCTCGATACATAGGCCACGATATGATACATACCTCGATACATAGGCCACGATACGATACATACCTCGATACATAGGCCACGATATGATACATACCTCGATACATAGGCCACGATACGATACATACCTCGATACAGTGCACTTTTGATACAGTACGACATATTTAAAATTGATTCAACACGGTTTAATAAAAAAATAAAGGCTAAATCATGTCTGTGATATTAAAAGTCTTTGTTAAACCACTTCTTGTGCAAAACTCATATGAAACACAAACTTTTTAATGAACAAAACAGTGAAAATGTCAATTGTGTCGCATAACTGAGTTTCCTTCCACTAAACAAGCAACAAAATTGTAGCACTGTAACAAAATAATTTAGTAAAATATACCAAAAAACACTCTTGCCGATATATATCGATACAGCAGCCCATGATATTGATACTGTATCATCACGTTAAACGATACGATATATCGATATTTCAATATTTTTGCACAGAGACATAATTAACCCTTAAAGGTGCATTGTTTAACTCTTCTGGTGGAGGTTTCGTCAAATGCTTTTCTCCGTGGAGGCGATGTTGCTTTGTCTAAACCTTTATATCATCATGGAAACCAAACTAGACCAAGTTACAGGCCAGATCTGTGGAGAGGCGACCCCGCTCACAGTCAGAATGTCTGTTTTTCTACGTATTTTTGAACATTCCAGGCAGATCACTGACACATTCATCGAAACAAGGAGGTGACTGACCCAAAACCAAGAAGTTACAAAGTGCACTTTTAACCTTATCTAGTCTGATTCTAGTCCAGCTCATGGTCTCTCCCTCTGTTGACTCTCTGCTCTTACAGTGACTTCATAATTATTCACACATTCTTCTGTTTTTCTGATGAAACACTTTAGTCATTTTAGGTCAGGACTTCTCGTGGAAACAAACAGGAAACGGCTCCTTTTGTTCAGGACGCCTCCCCATCCTCCAGCTTCGTTAGACTCATGAAAACTCCCGACATTTGTTTACACACGCTGGCTCCTAGTACCGCAAATCTGAGCATAATAGAAACAAAATCGTCCTTTAAAGTTGCATTGTGTCACTTTTTGGTTGAGGGTCCGTCACCTGCTTGTTTCTAGATGTTTCCAGATGTTTCTAGATGTCACTGCTCTGCCTGGAATGTTCCACAGTATGACATTAAACAGCTCTACTTTACGTTTACTCAATTACAGGTGGTTTTATTGCGCAAAAATACCTAGAAAACAGGCATTCTGACTCTGAGCGGGGTCGCCTCTCCACAGATCTGACCTGTAACTTGTTCAGAAACACATTTGATAAACCCTCCACCAGAAAAGTTACACAATGCTGCTTTAAATAGTCACAATTCGCAAATCTCTAATCAAAAAAAAGTATCATGTGTTAAAATGAAACAACCCTGAGGTTACATCTTCAGATCAGATTTCAGTTTTCTCTCAAATCTTTAAGCTTTTTGAAGTGTTTAAATTGTGAATGAAATTGTAAAACATCTGCAAATACTCCACATTATGGCATTAAACTTGTCTATCTCCGTGGAGACAAGTAGACGACACCACCAGGTCAAGTTACAAGTAGAAAGGGAGACTCTGCTCACAATAAAAACGCATTTTTTTTTTCGAGTTTTCTAGTATTATCATTAACAGAAATGCCTGCAATTAAATAAATGCAAGATGGATCAGTTTAATGCCACTCTGGAACATTCTCGACGAAGAAATCTTAGAGACATTAGATGACTTCACGAGAAAAGTTAATTTAAACTATGACTAAAACATGAGTATTAAACCTATGACTAAATGTAGAGTAGTAAACGGCTAAACCACCTATTAATACTGTTATTGTGACATATATTAGTAATACAAATACATTAACTCAGATGCCAGAAATATAATGTCATCTTTCAGTTTCAGTGTATTGGCAGTTCCCTGTCTGAGTCACGGTCCAGTTTTGGATCTCTGCCCCGTGTCTCCATAAACACAAACTCACTTCCTGTCTTTCTGCTGTTTTTATTTTGCAGAAAAGTTGTACAACTCCCAAGGCCCTGAGCTCCGGAGGTCGCTGTTTTCACTCAAGCAGCTTTTCCAGGTAACTCATGTTTAAAAATCACCACATACTTTTATCATTTTAATTTAGATTTGTATTATTATATTTACGTATTATATTATTTTATTATAATGGGACAATTCATCATCAAAAGAGAAGAATCTATAACAAACTTGGTAAAGTCAGTTATAAACAATTTCATCAGTGATTTGATTAGGCTACTTAATGTCCAAATGTTTTAAATCCGTGTATCATTTGTTCATTCGTTTTTCAATATAAAACCAAAAATAAGAAAACGAAAAAACAACTGTTTTCTTCGTTATTTTTCTCCAAAACCAAAATGAAAAAACGGATAATGATTCGTTTTTTCAGTTTTCGATTTTGTGTTTAAATGAAGAATGGAAAAAACGGATAACGGCCGTTTCCCGTTTACGTGACTTCCGTGACTGCGATGCCGAACTTTTGCACCGCGTACGGACTGAACTAGGACTGATCCAGGTCCGAGACCAGACGGGACTAGAGCGGGACTAGAGCGGGACCAGACCAGGACCAGACCAGGACCAGACCAGGACCAGACCAGGACCAGACCAGGACCAGAGAGGGACTGGGGCGGACTCCAAGCTTTGACTCTGAGCCTCCGTGGGGTCCAAGCCTCAGCTTCGAGCTCCGGCCCTGTCGTGGGCTCTGAGCCTCCGATCTGGTCTCGGTCTTGTCTCGGTCTTGTCTCGGTCTCGTCTCTGTCTCAGGCCCGCTCTGGTCCCGGTCTGGTCCCGGACCTGGTCCATTTGAACCAAAAGCTCTTAGTTCGGTTCGTTTTCGTTGGTGTGAAAGCGTCAGTTGGATGCTTTGCACCACCTCGGAACCAGCCGCGGTTCTGGAGCAGCCCGTCCGGACCTGTAGTCCACAGCGCATTCTCACTTTCCCCGCACGGAACCAGCGCGGAGACGATGACACGGAACCGCTCGGACCGCTGGTCTCGGTCTCAGTCCCGCTCTGGTCTCGGTCTGGTCTCGGACCTGGATCAGTCCTGGTTCACTCCGTACGCGGTGCAAAAGTTCGGCATCGCAGTCACGGAAGTCACGTAAACGGGAAACGGCCGTTATCCGTTTTTTCCATTCTTCATTTAAACACAAAATCGAAAACTGAAAAAACAAATCATTATCCGTTTTTTCATTTTGGTTTTGGAGAAAAATAACGAAGAAAACTGTTGTTTTTTCGTTTTCTTATTTTTGGTTTTATATTGAAAAACGAATGAACGAATGATACACGGATTGTTTTAAAGGTGCACTGTGTAACTTTTCTGGTGGAGAGTCCTGCTTGTCTTGCCTGGAAGGATCCATAGTGTGGCATTACACTTATTAGATCTGTGAAAACGCACTGATTCATTGATTTATTGTCATTGAATGAAGGAAACAACCTATGAAATTACACTTAGAGCTTCCCTCTGTTGTACACAGACATAAGCAAGAAAACACAGTGAAGCCAAGACGCACTACACTACATCTGAAAGACACAACATTTATGGTTGAGGATTATTTACACACTGATCGCTGTTGGGGAAAAGCTATTTTTTAATTTTACAATGTGCGTTTTCATCGACCTGTATGCCATCTCACAGTAAGAATGTATGTTTTGTAGCATTAAAACATGCATTATATAGGACACCTTTATTTGTAGTCCTATATTATAACATGTTTTTATGCTCATCACACCCTGGAGTAACTTTCCACTTGTTGTAATTAGAGCTGTAGATACTTGTAGTGTCCAGTCAATTGAGTCATTCTTTTAAAAAACATTGAATATTACACATATGGCTAAACTGTTACAAAATTGTAATCAGTCTAAAACTAGACTTTCTGTTTGTTGTGTGCAGGATGATAAAGACCTGGTCCCAGAGTTTGTGGCGTCTGAAGGTTTGACGTGTTTCATTAAAGTCGGAGCAGAGGCCGACCACAACTACCAGAACTACATCCTCAGAGGTGAGTGCAGAAAATCAAATCACATCACTTTATTTATCAAATAAATGTGTTTTTGCGTGCTCTTTTCTCCTGCGGACACACGGCAACTGAAGGATTTTGAGCTGAGAAAAAGTTTACAGTCTAAAAACAGGTAAAAATCGCCCCAAAATCCGACATTTTTGAAAGTTGTAGGTGATCTGTCAGCTGAACACGAGCAGTTTGTGATTACATTGCCTCTATGAGAAAGATCTTGTCTCAGCCCAGGGGATTTTTTCTGCTGAAGCTCCAGTGAGTGTCACTGTGTCAACTGGAGGCAGCTACAAGCAGCAACACTTTATCCAGTTATTTTAATAGTTCCATGACTTCCCTGTGTGATGTTGTGATTTCCAACCAGGAAGTAAAATTTTTAACCTAAAAAATTGCCAAACTGGGAAAAAAAAGTTCTTTAATTCTTGCAAAATCTTAAAGGTGCATTTCGCAACTCCATCAAAAGCTTTTCTCCATGGAAACTTTATTGCTTTGTCCGGAATGTTTCACAATGTGGTATTAAACCTTTCTATCTTCATGGAGACCAAACCAGACCAAGTTACAGGTCAGATCTGTGGAGAGGCGGCCCCGCTCACAGTCAGAATGCCTGTTTTTTTAATGCATTTTTGTGCTATAAAACCACCTGCGATTGAATAAATGTGAAGTGGAGCTGTTTAATGTCACACTGTGGAACATTTCAGACAGTGCACTTTTAAAATATAATGATCTTAGTTGTGTTTTAGTGAAATAAGTAGGCTGAGCTGTCATACGGACTTAAATTCTCGTGTGAAACTAACTGATTTGCCTGATTTAGTCTTACATAACTCACAAGTGGAGTCCTGTGGGATCCTGGTCGCTGGAACAATTTTATATTTCTACTTTTGTCGGTGGAAAGTGGGACCTGAGTTTGACACGTTTGAATCCACGTCGCTGACTCAGACTGGTCATTACAGGCTTTAGAGAAACGCTCTGGTCTGAGAGAGGAGCCAAACTAAACCAGAGCGAGAGAGAAGAGGAGGCGATATGACATTTGCTACTGTCTGCACCTCACCGTCTCGTACAAATTTACTAGTACAGAGTCTGACGAACGCTTTTCTCCGTGGAGATCTTATTGCTCTGTCTGGAATGCTTCACGGTACGGTTTAAAAACTTTCTATCTTCATGGAAACCAGACCAGACCAAGTTACAGGTCAGATCTGTGGAGAGGCGACCCCGCTCACAGTCAGAATTAAGGCTGGGTATCATTAAGAAGTTGCAGATACGATACACACCTCGATACACAGGCCACGATACGATACATATCTCGATACCGTGCACTTTCGATTCGATATGATATATTTCAAATCGATTCGATACGGTTCAATAAAAAATAAAGGCTAAATCGTGGCTGTGACACTAAACGTCTTTGTTAAACCACTTCTTGTGCAAAGTTCATATGAAACACAAACATTTTAATCATCAAAACAGTAAAAATATCAAATGTGTTGCATAAATGAGTTTCCTTTCACTCCACAAGCAACAAAACTGTAGCACTGTAACAAAATAATTTAGTAAAACACACCTAAAAATACTCTTGGTGATATATCGATACAGTAGCCCACGATATCGATACTGTATCATCACATTAAACGATACGATATATCGATATTCTGATATTTTTGCACACCTCTAGTCAGAATGTTGTTTTTCTAGGTACTTTTGCACTATAGAAATTGTAATTGTATAAATGTAAGGCAGAGCTGTTTAATGTCATACTGCGGAACATTTCAGGCAGAGCAATGACATATCCATAGAAACAAGCAGGTGACGGACCCTCCACCAGAACAGTTACACAATGCACCTTTAATAATATATACTACTTGAGGGTAGTGATAAGTAATAATTATCTAGGATCATAAAACAGAATCTTTGCTGCCAGTAAAGAGCCCGTGTTGCACTATTATCGGATCTATGTTGTAATGTTGTTTCCTCATCACAAACAGACCTGGAGTTGTGTTTTGTTTCATTCACGCGTTTAACTCACAAACTCTGCGTAATTAGGCTGAGTTCTTTTCTCAAACAGAAAACAGGAAGTGCACCACTCCTTCACTAGGAACTATTTGAAGGATTACAGACCTTGAATTGCCAAGCTCTTCTCTCTCAGTCCAGGCTGGTGCCACCTAGTGCCTCCGCTCAATTTCATTTCTCTCCAGCGACTAGGTCAGGAATCAGAATACACTTGACGGTTTGCAAAAACCCTGTAAGTGCGAGTTTGGGCACCAGCCAATCAGCAAAGAGCCATATATTCAGTGTTGTCAACAATTCCAAAGATCGAGGATTTAAATCCGGAACAAAGAGAATGTTTGGTGAATTTCATCAGGGGAAAAGACGTTATTGCCCTTCTTCCTACGGGATTTGGGAAAAGCTTAATATACCAGTTAGCTCCTTTAGCGGTGCATTACATATGTCACAACCAAATAGCAGCAATTTGTTAAATTGGTCCAGAATGCAGCAGCTCACCTTTTGACTGGAAAGTAACAGAGGAACCACATCTCTCCTGGTTCTTAAATCCCTGCATTGGCTTTTCTGTACATTTTACAAACCATTTTAAAATGTTAATGATTGTTTTTAAAAGTCTTAATGGCATGCAGTGTTGGGGAGTAACAGATTACATGTACCAGAGTTAGGTAATCAGAGTACAAATTATGAGTAACTGTATTCAGTTACAGTTACTGTTTCAGTGAGTGGTAATTGGATTACAGTTACTTTGTTGAAATAAATGGATTACACAGCGGTATTTTCCTGTTTTCACATTTTGGGCTATAACCCTTTTTTTTTTTTTTTTTTCCCCTCGGTAATTTCACTCATTGCCAGGTCTAAACTAAACCAGGTCTAAACCAGGTCTAAACCAGGTCTAAACCAGGTCTAAACCAGGTCTAAACCAGGTCTAAACCAGGTCTAAACCAGGTCTAAACCAGGTCTAAACCAGGTCTAGGAAACCAGGTAATAAACAGGATTTAACAGGACTAAATCATGCTGCGTGGACCGTGTCTCCTCCTCTTCTATCAATAATATTTTTATTTGGTTCAGTAAAGTCTGGGCTTTTTATTTTCTTGTAGCAGACAAAACATCTTATGTGAAGATTTTCTCGTTTTTGTTTCTCTACAGCAAATCAAGTAATCCAAAGTATTCAGATTACATTACTCACTTTAAGTAATTTAATGGATTACTTTACAAACTACATTTTGGGGTCTGTAATCTGTAGGGGAATACATTTTAAAAGTCACCTTCCCAACACTGATGGTATGACACCTTCCTATTTATTTGAACTGCTTCAGCCAACGTCCCATCCAGAGAACTGCAAACCAGCACCTCTTGGCTGTGCTATAGAAAAATATCTTTAATTTAATATTATATAACCAGTATATAATATCTGTGCTATTGCCTAGAACTAAAAATATTTCCAAATTCTTGGTAGTACCATATACTGTACTTTTTTTTAGTAGCAGAGAAGTATCTTCCAGCCGTTCCCAGCCCACATCCTGACAGCAGAAGTCAAAGAGGGGCCAAATTCAAACAATAAAAAACAATTCAATTTTAAATCAACAGTGAAACAATATTTACTCATGGTGAGGGTTTGTAATTGAACACAAAAACATATTGATAGTGCTTTTATTATAATGAGTCACTCGTGCATTTGAGTGTCACAGAGTCAAACTGACCTCTTTCACTGCCGGCCCTGTTCTGTCAGAGCGACCTCCAGCCGACCAATAACTTTTCTTTGTAACTCACATTTTGCCTGGTACGCAAAGGACATCTGCTGGATATTAATCTTCACTGGACATATCATTTTTTGGCGTTTGAGTTATTACATTATTGGCCTGTTGTGACACTATGGGCTTATTAAGACTGAGCATCATTAAGAACCTCCAGTGGCAGAGTTACGGGTTTGGGGGCCCGAGGCGAACTTGTGTTTGGGGCCCTCAATATAATGCGTTGTTGCTTTAGTTGTATTTTTAATATTGTTTGTATTTCCCCATTGTTCTTGAGACACACACATTCCTATTTGAATTAGTGGATTGGAAACTTATTTTATTAGTTAGGTAGCCTACCAGATAACCAGAGCTGAAAGTAGTTTTATTTTTTTACTTTTTTACCATTTGTTTTTTTTTTTTTTTTTTGTTTACATCCATTACTTATGATTACGCTTCAATTATGTTCAAATCAGGGTCAAGCTCACTAGTCCATTCTCACATGAAAGGGGGGGATGCTTTTATTTTGATGGTATTTTTATGTTTTAAAGTAAACTACTCTCATTTAATGTCATACTGAGAGTAAATCAAATTGCTCTTAGGCCTCGGCCAGTGACACTGATTTGGAATTGGTTGGGGGCCCCTCCAGGTTTGGGGGCCCTAAGCAGCCACCCTCGTTTGCCTAATGGCAGCGCCGCCTCTGCATACCTCGATACATCGGTCACGATACGATACGTTTTTCAATACAGTGCACTTTTGATTCAGTACGATTCGATATGATATATATTTCAAATTGATTTGATACAGTTCAGTGAAAAACAAAGGTTAAAATCATGGCGGTACTTAACTCTGCACCAACTTAGTGGACTTATTACACTTTAATATGAAAAACGCCCATTTTGCTCAAAACTGTGAAAATGTCAACACAGATAATTTAGTAAAATATACCTAAAAATACTCTTGGTGATACATCGATACAGCAGACCACGATATCAGTACTGTTTCATCAAATTAAATCATACAATATATCGATATTTCAGTATTTTTGCACACCCCTCGGGCTTTGTACATGTAAAGTTGGGCAGATTTATTACATTATTGACTGTGTATTGTGACGTTCTCTGTTTCTAAAGCCTCTTATCTATTGTCTTTCTTTCCCTTCCTCTTCCTCTCTCTCTCTCTCTCCCTCCCTCAGCCCTGTCTCAGATCATGCTGTTTGTGGACGGCATGAACGGCGTGATTCAGCACAATGAGATGGTGCAGTGGCTCTACACGCTCACAGGAAGTCTGGTCAGTACAAAACACAAACGCATACATACAAACACACACACACAAACATACACACAATCTGTTTAGTACCATAGACTGTATAAAAAAGTGGACTAAGCGAATGTGACGTCACCCACAGCGTTCAGAAGTTGGCAATGCGAACGGTTACAGGAGCGAATTAGGAACAGGATTTTTGAATGGACAAAATAGCGAATAAAAACATCAGGGTCATGTAGAACAGACATTTTAATCAATCAATCAATCAAACTTTATTTATAGAGCGCTTTTCATACAGTAATGCAACACAAAGCGCTTTACAGTGATTAAAAACATTTACACATTTCCTTCCAACCCCACATTGCATACGCACAAAACTAAGCTCAACACTTGGGTCTTGAGATTACTATCTGTGACATAATTATCTTCTCTTCTACTCCTTCTGTAATCTGACATAACTATCTTCTTTGCAACTAACTATATGAAATCTGGAAGTTTATACTAACTGTCTGGAATCTGGGACACTAACTATCTGGAACCTGTACAAAAAGGAAAAGAAAAAGAAACAGAAACCCCTCTGCAACATCAGCACAACAGACAATAACGACAAGACTAGCAACTGGGGAGGAGAGGGAATTGGAGTCGACCCCAGAATATAGGCAGGCAGCCTCTAGATCCTGCAGCCAGGGGGCGCTGGATACAACAGACCCACCCGCCAATTCTGGGTGGGGCAAAAGCTGCGAGGGTGTAGAGAAAGTTGAAACATGTCAACTAGGTAAATACACTTTACTGTGTTTTCTTTAAAAAAAAAAAACAATAAGTTAAAGTACATAAGAAGACAAAATTAACATCTTTGGCCTGCTTCTTATACTAAAGACAATATTTTATAAATCTCGGTAGCTTTACCCTTATTGTAATGTTTTTGTAATGCTTTTTTTTTTCCATTATTGATGTTTTTATTCCACTGAAAAACAAAAAACATGCATCCTTGCTCTGAGTGGGCTCGTATATCCACAAACCTGACTCTTATTTGGCCTGGAAAAGAGCCACTTCCTGCTTGTTTCCATGTTTTGTGAGTTTTAGAACTTTAATTTAACTTCAATTTCTGTTGCTGTAGCATTGATTTTGTCCACAACAGCAACACAAATAAACAGATATCGTTATCAGCAAGAAAACTCTGATTTCCATAGACTGTATACAAAAGTGGACTGAGGGAGTGTGACCCATAGTGTTCAGCTCCAGTCAAATGAAGCTCATCAAGGCTTGTAGTTATAGGAGCGAATATGGAGTAGAGTTCCATATTAGGAAAAGGAATAGGAATTTATTTACGCACAAAATAGTCAAATAAAAACACCAGGATCATATAAAGCGGGTTAATATGAACATTTAAGACCAAAATGAGGAGTCGGACAGCTGACGGTTTTTCAATGCAAAGTTTATTGGAGCCAGAGTCAGTGGAGCCAGAAGCACCCCCATGTTCACTTCCTATTTGGAACACGGTTAGCTGGTTAACTATGTCCATTTATTTATAGTCTATACTTATTTCCAAAACCTGTATCGTATTTCAGGATCTACTACAGAAAATGCCAAAGCGTCCAAGTGGTTTAAAACCAAAAACATATTCCGTAATCCGGTTTTAAAGGGAAAACAACATTCCCAGCTGTCTGCTTTGTTGTTTTAGCGAAGATTGTGACGTAACGGTGTTTATCGTATTGAACTGCTTTTCTTGGTGCCAGTTCTAATCTAATCAGAGACAGATACCACTGAAAAGACTTTGTTAATGTTTTGATTGGCTGAAAGTTTGAACATGCCGTTTTGTTTTGTTTTTTTGTTTTGTTTTTTAACCTGAAATGTGTTTACACTTTTTACACTCATTAAAATGTAATAGCTAAAAATTAAAGCTGAAGTTAAAGGCCTTGTAACCAATTTTTTCCATTTATTTGAGCAAAGTTTGTGTTTGTTTTCAAGACGGTAAAACCAAGTACAGCGCATTTAAAGGTCTTATATTACGCAAAATTGACTCAAAAACAGTCCTGAAGTTGTGTTTTTTCATTCACACATTTGAGTAACACTTTATTATTAGTCTGTCTACATCTCCAAAGCTTAAAATGCTCTGTTCCACCTTGTGATGTCATGAAGAAACGGCAACTTTTTATGTTTTGTTCAGTAGAGATTGGCAATTCTAGGGCTGAAATCATCCAAATGATTCTAGTGAAGTTGTAGAAGTTTAAAAACACAGTGGAGCACTTCCTATTTTACCATGTGTCATCACAAATTACACGGTTTGGGTGTTAAAAATGTGTGAATGAAACAAAACACAACTTCAGGTCTGTTTTTGATGAATGATGAACATAACATAGATCAGAAAATAGTGTAATAACAGTACTTTGGATACTACATTTGTCTAGGTCAAATGACTGCGCTTAAACTCAAAACAAGAATGCAATACACAGGGTTCCAACGGTCATGGAAATCCTGGAGAAGTCATGGAAATCGAAAATGTCATTTTCTAGGCCTGAAAAAGTCATGGAATTTTGTAAATACAACGAAAGTTTTAGAAAAGTCATGGAATTTTATTATCTTGTTCACGCAACTAGTGTTCTGCTAAGTTCTCATTAGGCTTTTATGATTATTTCCGAACATATGCGCCTTTTGTTTAAAAGAGACGACAATAAATGCACTGACAGTATTTTGAATGTTAAAAAACTATAATCCCAAACCATAAGATGAGTGGAAAGGGTTAACGTTTCATATTTAGCCCTAAAAGTCAATCAGTTCTACACATGTAGGTGTCGTAAAGTCATGGAAAATTCACTTTAGCTCATGAAAAAGTCAAGGAAATGTTTTGAAATTTTGTCAGTGATAAAAAGTGGGGACCCTGAATCTAAAACATTTTATATACAAGTACTTTAGAATCAGAAATACATTTATTGTCATTATCTTTGTGTTGGAAAAGGTCTTGAAAATCAGATACTGATCATTCTAAAACTAGATACTCATTTAAGCAGGTATCGATACAAAAAAGTCACATTCACAGGACAGAAATAAACCTTTTCTGAATAGTTTTAGCATGATTTTGAGCTGAATCAGAACAAATATAAGAGCACAAAGACGAGTATACACCCATGGACCACCGAAGGATTACACAGATATAAGACCACATGGAAATATAACAGAAAGTACTTTGATTTCATGTTAAAAATCACACTGAAAACATGTTTTTTATCATCGTGGTATCCAAAAACCATATTGAGTATTGAGTCTTTTCCTTAGTATCGAAATCAAGTTTGAAATTTTAGTACTGTGACAGGTTTCAGGCTTTTATTTAAGTAAAGCAACTCAACATAATAGAGTAAAACAATGTTAAAATTCCTCTTTCTTCTTATGCCTGGGAAATCCTCTTGGCATTTTCAAGCTTTGGTCCAACATTTCCACCTCAGGTTTATTATTACATGTTACACAGAGGCCACAGGAACATATGACTTTAAGTGTTTTAATTTTGGAAGTTTCCTTTTTGAACAAATGAGTCACTGTGTCACGGCTCCTGCACAGTGAGCCCTCTGTGTGAGCGTGATCTGCGGCTCCCTCTGGTGGCCGCGCGCTGACACTGCTGCCTCTTTTTTTTTTGTGTTAACAGTCTCGTCTCGTGGTGAAAACTGCGCTCAAACTGCTCATAGTGTTTGTGGAGTATTCAGATCCGAACGCCAGGCTGCTCATCAGGGCCGTCAACACAGTGGATGGAAGAAGAGGTGAGTAGATTTTATTACATTTTATTTAAAGGTGCACTGTGTAACCTTTGCAGTGCTGGGTCAACTACTTATACTTGTCTCTATCTAGATGTTATTGTGTTGCCTGGAATCTTTAACAGTAGCATAAACTTCTACCGTATTTTCCGCACTATAGGGCGCACTTAAAAGCCTTAATTTTCATCAAAAAATGACCTTATAATCCAGAGCGCCTTATATATAAATTTATTCGAGTGTCTTAGTACGACTTTAGTAAACTACAAAGCCACAGCACTTGCAGCATTACGGCTCCCATAGTCAGAAGCATCGTGGAGTAATACATACTGTGATTCCTTTTAATATCAAAATGCACCTGTCAAGAGACACGCTTACAACGCCGACTTTAAACTCAAGGCTGTTATAAAGTTAAAGTACGAGCTGCGTGGGAGCAGTGGATGAGAGAAGGAGAACACACATTCACCAAGACAGGGAGACGGCGCCGAGCAACTTACTCCACGATCTGCCAATGGATCGTTGACGCCTGGACTAAGGATCAGTATCAACTGTGGTCCGAGCTTTCACCAAGACCAGAATCATCACTGAACTGCCAGGGAACAGTAACCACACTGACTCGGATACTGACGAGAGGGATGCGGGCGAGCTGGACGCCGCACTCACCCAACTGTTTGAACAATTATGAATTATTGTGAATACACTAACAATTTAACTGTATCAGACAGTTTTTTGTTTTGTTTTCGCGTTACAACGGAACAAAGTTGAGAGTTATTATGAACGTGTTAAAATAAAGTTTGACTGACTTATCTAATTGTTGTGTTTCGTTTAATGCGCCTTATCGTCCGGTGCGGTTTATATGTGAAAAAAGTTCAAAAACAGACCATTCAATGACAGTGCCTTATAACCCAGAGCGCCTTATAGTGCAGAAAATACGGTACCTTCATGGAAACGAGCAGATGTTGCCACCAGGCCAAGTTAGAGGTCAGATCTGTGGAGAGGCTACCCCACACACAATTTTTCATTTTTTTATTGAATTTTTTGACCCATAAAATCACCTACATTTGAGTAAGCGTTATTAGATAGCTTTAATGCCATACCGTGAAACATTCCAGGCAAAGAAATACTAAATCTGTGAAGACTTCTCAGGCCCCAACTAGAAAAGTTACACAATGCATCATTATGCTTTAAATTTTAGTTATAACTAGGGCAGGGTATCATTAAGAAGTTGCCTATATGATACATGCCTCGATACAGTGCACTTTCAGTTCAATACAATATGTTTCAAATCAATTCGCTACGGTTCAATAAAAAATAGAGGCTAAATCAAAAGTCTTTTTTAAACCACTTCTTGTGCAATGTTAATATGAAACAAACACATTTTAATCATCAAAACAGTGAAAATGTCAGTTGTGTTGCATAAACGAGTTTCTTTTCACTGAAGCAACAAAACTGTAGCTCTGTAACAAAATAATTTAGTAAAAAAACCAAAAAATTGATACAACAGCCCACGATATTGATACTGTATCATCACATTAAACTATACGATATTTCAATATTTTTGCACACCCCTAGTTACGACTGTGAGAAGAAACAAGTCCAATCCAAATTTATTTATAGCACACAAAGTCTCTAAAGTGCTGCATAGAATAGGCACTATATAAGTTTACAGATTGAATAAAATACAGCATTCATTAAAAATATTAAAAATATATATATAAATAAATAAAAAAATAAAATTAACAATAAAAAAATAAAATAATAAAATAAAATCACTAAAAAACAGAGGACCAAGCAACCGATCAAACAATATCTCACTTTATATTTTTAGTGCCATTGGAGTGAAAAAAAAAAAAGTTTTTCAACTTGTGATATACTTTTTTGTTGATCCACCCAGTAAATATGACTAAATCACAGTTAAAAAAAAAACTTGAGGTGACGTAAACAACCAGAGCAAAGTTAACTTTACATTTAGGTTTGCTTTCTTGTTTTCTTTTTAAGTATCAGTGTTAATTTAGTACCGATAGTTAGAAAGCCAAATATTCCCTTTGGTTGCCGAGCGTGAATAAAGAAACCTCCTGTGTTTTGTTTTGTTCAGATGAAAAGCCCTGGAGCTACATTATGGACGTCCTGGAGGAGCGGAACGGAGCCGACTCTGAACTCCTCATGTTCACAATGACTCTCATCAACAAGGTGGAGTATTGCATCTCACTTATATTAATGTATTTTCCTTGAATATTTTTATTGTTGTTTACGCTTTATTGATCCACAGGAGAAATTACTGGAACACTGTAGCTCAAATATACAATAAACTACAATTAAATGTAATGGAAAAGCAATGAAAATATGCAATAATATACAAGATATGAATATGAGATTTAACTTAAAGGTGTTTTTTGTTATGTTATATTAAGGTGTACAGAATCATTATTCAAATACGTTTTCCTTCCAGACATTGGCGGCGCTCCCAGACCAGGATTCCTTCTACGATGTGACGGACAGCCTGGAGGAGCTCGGGATGGATACGATTGTCCAGAAACACCTGAACAACAAGGCCACAGAGGCAGACCTGAGGGCTCAGTTCACCACATACGAGGTAACAACTCTGGAATATTGAAAACAATACAGAAACACTGGGAAACCGGGCTGCCTAGAATAAAATAAAATAGGGCTGGATGATTCTTTCTATTGATCGATCATGATTTGCTTTTTGATTTTAGTTTTTGTCATTAAAATTACATAAATATGGGTTTTGGGTTGTTACCTTTTACCAGTTCAATTTAACAATAAAATAGTCACTTTTATTCCTCCAAATTCTGAACTCTTTTCCAAACCAGACTGACAGGATCGACTGCGGACTTGGATTAAATAGATCCAACCTGATTATTGAAACTACTGGATTTTGATTTGATAAAATTCAATTAACTAATCCGCCATAAAGTAAAGTCACGGTAAACGACCAATTCTACAACAGTAAATCTTCACTTATCTTTAAAATCCCTATTATTAAATGGAAATATTCATGCATTTAACCTGGTGTACTTGATTTTCATACTGAAAATGTACACGAATAAAGTTGGACAGCATTTCTTTAAGTGGTTCTGTCAACTGTGGCACTGTCCTCCTCAAACACTAAAAATATTCTAAATGTAAGTAAGATCAATAGAAATTGTACCAAATTGTCTTTGGTTTTATTTTTTTTGTTTGTTATTGTTTTATTGCCTTTCTCTATTTGCAACCTTTTCGTTTTAACCTCTCAAAACTGCCCCACAAAAGCAAAAGCCCTTAACTCACCATAGTGTGAAACTGAGAAAAAATTACTTAAAAGTTTCTGTTTTGTCCAGACAAAAGTAGGTAGGGCTCCCAAAATTTGCCAACTAGTTGCTATAATGGAGAAATGTTTGTATGTGAATAATATTGACCTTTGACCCTTATTTGTCAGTTTCTGTGCTCTGCCTTTGTATCATGAGCCAAAAATAAAGAATCGGGCAAAGGAAAAAGGCAGAAACTGACATGATTGTTATTTGCTTTTCACCAGACTTTCATTCGTTATAAAAACACGTCACCAAGCTCTAGTTATCATGGACTTTGTTTGAAATGATATTGAAGAGCTTTGGATTTCCTGTTTGGAGCTGATCAAGATCGTGCGGCGACACTTACACAGTTAAACAGTTTGACACACAAGTTACTTTAGAGTGTAGTATGAACTAGGGATGGGCATTCGATGAAATTTTCTTAATCGATCGTCGGGAGAATTAACGCTCGATTATCGATTAATCATTAACGTTTTTATATTAAAATAATCATCATTATTATTACTGTCTGCACTAATAATCTGCATAAATAAATTCAACTTTACGACATATAAACCGTAACGACTCTAGAGCCACATCAGCCCGTTTGACATTATAATGTGTTTAATTCAGTTTTGCGCAACTCTCACAGAAACGAAACTTAAAACCACATCGCTAATTTTGCATAAACTAAGCGAAGATAAAACTACAGCTCTTGTGTCGCTGATGCGGTTCAAGTTCTGTTGGATTAAAAGACATGACTCAGTGGAATACAGGTTAGTGTGACCAGATTTGCGTTTGTCAAAACCAGGACACCGTACGGGGGGAGGGAGGTGGGGACTCGTCATCGACATTGCGCGACTCTCAACTGGTAAAAACTTTTTCCCACTGGACACAGAAACATATGTGCTGCTTTATACACTGTGCACATGGACTCACACTTGTCCCGAACTGGAAAGTTTCTTGTACAAGTCATCGTTGCACTTCAGTACGTTGCAGGCTGCTCGCTCCTTCTGAGTGCAGAGAGACACATGTACAGACCTGTTTGGTCACCGCACAGCAACCTACAGTTTGTCGATTAAAATGAACGTAATCGATGAAATTCTTAATGATCAATTATCGATTAATCGACTAATCATGCCCATCCCTAGTATGTACATTATGAATAAATACACAAAATACATTCACTTTTTAGACAATTTAAAGTATATTTATTAATGTGTTAAGACCCTGTGCCAAGGCTGCAACAAAAAAGAGGCAAAAGGTTGGATTTTAAAATGAAATATATTTATTAACTAAATCACAAACAAAACATTGCACGACTCCTCATTTTTGGCTCATGATTCAAAGGCAGAGCACAAAATCTGACAAATAAGGGTCAAAGGTAAATTTTGAGAGGAGGGCTCAAAACACAAACAAAATGACATATTTTTGACCAAACATGATGTTACGGCGTTTTGCCTTTGTAGGACAGAAAAGGCCACAAATGACTAAAAAAAAAATGTATTCTCTTTTTCAGAACGCCTTGAAATACGAAGACGGCGAGATGGAAGTCCCCGCTCCGACCGTCCGTAAAGAACGCCGAAAACCAGCTCAGTCCTCCGGCCCCGAACAGGAGGGACGGAGGAGCCGACGGACGTCATCCCAAAACCTGCCGGACCTCGTCTCCTCCTCGTCTTCCTCATCCCCCTCTCCCTCGCCCACAACGACCGTCACCTCCCCCCGTCTAAACCGCGTCACGTCGCCGCTCACCATCTCCTCTCCGTCTCCGACTCAAAACGTAACGTCTCTTAACCTCCGTAACCAGATTCCATCTCCAACCATATCGTCCCCGTCGCCTACTGAAAATCTTACCTCTCCAACTCTAAACAATTACGTGCTGTCGCCAACCATCTCTTCTCCATCGCCGACTCAAAACATAACTTCTCCAAACCTCCAAATTCTATCTCCGACCATCTCTTCTCCATCTCCTACTGATAACGTCACCTCTCCTTTTTCACCAACCATCTCTTCTCCATCTCCAACCCAAAACGTAACGTCCCCCGGCTTCGGTAACGGTCGGCAATCGTCTTCGGAGACTCCCAAACAAAACAGCAGACCCACGTCCCCCGTCGCGCTGAACTCTGACCCCAGTAGCTCCGCCTCCAGCCCGTCCACGTCGCAGAGAGGGTCCCCGGTCGCGACGCACAGGGTCCCGAACGGAAACGCCGCGACCGAGCAGGAGACGAAAGGGTCGCCGAGTTCGTAAGTATGAAAATTAAAATGTTTTGGTGATTATTAGATTGTAAAGTAAATCTAGCCAAGTTAAAGGTGCATTGCGTAACTTTTTGTTTGGGGGGTCCGTCACCTGCCTGTTTCTATGGATGCGTCATCGCTCTGCCTGGAATATTCCACAGTGTGACATTAAACTGCTCTACCACCAGTGTTGGGGAGTAACAGATTACATGTACCAGAGTTATGTAATCAGAGTACAAATTATGAGTAACTGTATTCAGTTACAGTTACAGTTTCAGTGAGTGGTAATTGGATTACAGTTACTTTGTTGAAATAAATGGATTACACGGCGGGATTTTCCTGTTTTTACATTTCAGGCTACACCCCCCCTTTTTTTTTCTTTTTTTTTCCCGGTAATTCCACTCATTGCCGGACAATAAACCAGGTCTAAATCAGGTCTAAATCAGGTCTAAATCAGGTCTAAACCAGGTCTAAACCAGGTCTAAACCAAGGTCTAAATCTCTAAACCAACCAGGTCTAAACCAGGTCTAAACCAGATCTAAACCAGGTCTAAACCAGGTCTAAAACCAGGTCTAAACCAGGTCTAAACCAGGTCTAAACCAGGTCTAAACTAAACCAGGTCTACTAAACCAGGACTAAACCAGGTCTAAACCAGGACTAAACCAGACTAAACCAGACTAAACCAGGTCTAAACCAGGTCTAAACCAGGTCGAAACCAGGTCTAAACCAATATTAAACCAGGTCTAAACCAGGTCTAAACCAGGTCTAAACAGGTCTAAACCAGGTCTAAACCAGGTCTAAACAGGTCTAAACAGGTCTAAACCAAGGTCTAAACCAGGTCTAAACCAGGTCCAGGTCTAAACCAGGTCTAAACCAGGTCTAAAACCAGGTCTAAACCAGGTCTAAATCAGGTCTAAACCAGGTCTCAAACAGGATTTAACAGGACTAAATCATGCTGTGAGGACTGTGTCTCCTCGTCTTCTATCAATAATATTTTTAATTTGGTTAAATAAAGTCTGTGCTTTTTTATTTTCTTTTAACAGACAAAACATCTTATTTTAACATTTCCTTGTCTTTGCTTCTCTACAGCAAATCAAGTAATCCAAAGTATTCAGATTACGTTACAAACTACATTTTGGGGTATGTAATCTGTAATCTGTAGGGGAATACATTTTAAAAGTCACCTTCCCAACACTGTTTATCTTACATTTGTGGAATTACAGGTGGTTTTATGGCTCAAAAATACCTAGAAAAACAGGTATTCTGACTTTGAGCACCGTCGCCTCTCCACAGATCTGACCTGTAACTTGGTCTGGTTTGGTCTCCGTGATGGAAAGGTTTAATGCCGTACTGTGAAGAAAAGCATTTGACGGACCCTCCACCAGAAAATTGACACACCTTTAAGATGACATGAATTAAAAAATTTTTATCAAGATCTGAGTAAATTTAGCTTGACAATTAAAATAATCTACCAATGGAACAAAACTTTTTGTACTTAAAATATGAAAATTCATCTTGCTACAATAAAAAAAAAAAAAAAAAAACTACAACTCTGCATTTAAAATAAGAAACTAAATCAAATGTTGCTTGAATAAAGAAAAACACACTTATTCCATTGGTAGATAATTTGACTTGAATCAACTCAAATAAAGTAAAATGTTCTTAATTTAGGTTATTTTAACTTACCTAGATATTGCTTCATGTTCTAGTCTAAATTTCACTAATTTCACTGCAAAAAACAAAATCTAGTCAAGTTAAGATGACTTGAATTAAGAATGTTTTATCATGATTTGAGTAAATTTCACTTGACAAGTAAAATTATCTACCCATGGAACAAGACTTTTTGCATTTAAAATTTGAAAATACATCTTGCTACACTTAAAAAATCAGAAAAACAACAACTTTTTGCACTTAAAATAAGAAAACTAGAAGCTTAAATTAAGTAAAACACTTATTCCATTGGTAGATCATTTGACTTGTCAAGTTGAATTGACTCAAATAAAGTAAAATGTTCTTAATTTAGGTTATTTTAACTTGTATAGATATTGCTTTTTTGCAGTGAAGCATGTAGTCCAAATATCACTCATTTGGAGTGTCTTAAAGGTGTATCATGTAACTTTTTTGACTTTGCCCAGAATGTTCCACAGCACGTTTTTAAACTTCTAGTATTTTTTCAATTACAGGTGTTTGTGTTGTTCACAGCATCCAAATATTTCACCGCAATTAATTCATGAGCTTGTTTTACAACTTTAAAAAGGCTAAAGATCAGAGTATCGTCACAGTAATGTTAACAGCTAGCATGCAAACAGTGCACTTCCTGATTATCTCACAATAAAATGACCTCAAGAGCGTTGTATACAAAATATAAGACAAAACAGGTCTTACGTATCTTTATTGTGGAACATTTAAAGCAAAGCGATAACATCACCGCGGCGACGTAAAAGAAGCAGACCCTCCACCAGAAAAAAGTTACATAATGCGCCTTTAAAAATGACCGTCAGACCAAGGGCTAAAGTATTTGTTATTGTTTTGGTTTGCCCTCCGCTCTGCCTCCTGTGAGATCTGACCAAGTTTAGACGAGAAGTGAAATTATTTTATCTGGACACGACTTTCCTCTGAGTTCAGGCTCCAGGAATGTTTGTTTTTGTGGGTAAAGGGGCAGCAGACCCGAGAACCACAGCTTAGCCTCGTATGAGCTGCTTAAATGTTATGTTATAGTTTATGAATTATATTTCCATGATGTAAATAGGCCAGTGAGGGAGGGCATCTGGTTTAATGTGGGGTTGGAGACAGTCTTACAGCTTTAGCATTAGAACAGCCTGGTTACCTGACCAGAGCCAGAACTGCACGCTTTGATAAAACTTTTACAAAGACGCAAAGACGATCTGGAGTCATGTCCGGTCTCCCTGATTTCAGAGGGTGTGATTGACAGGCGGATTAACCAATCAGAGATGCTTCAAAACAAACAGGGCTGTTTATATGTAAAAAAAACAAAAACAAAAAAAAAAACAAAGGACTGAGAAACAGTGTAGGTTTTTACAGAATCAACAATCGAAGCATCAAACTATTAGCAGGGTTCCCGTTGTTCTGGAAATCCTGGAAAAGTCATGGAATTTTGTAAATTCAATGAACGTTTTGTAATAGTCATGGAATTTTAGTATCTCTTTCACGCAGTGTTGGGAAGGTGACTTTTAAAATGTTTTCCCCTACAGATTACAGATTACATACACCAAAATGTAGTTTGTAACGGAATCTATTAAATGACTTAAAGTGAGTAATGTAATCTGAATACTTTGGATTACTTGATTTGCTGTAGAGAAGCAAAGACGAGGAAATCTTAACATAAGATGTTTTATCTGATAAAAGTCAATAAAAAAAGCCCAGACTTTACTTAAATTAAAAATATCATTGATAGATGAGGAGGAGACACGTTCACACAGCATGATTTAGTCCTGTTAAATCCTGTTTTAGTCCTGGTTTGGACCTGATTTAGACCTGGTTTAGACCTGGTTTTAGACCTGGTTTTAGACCTGGTTTTAGACCTGGTTTTAGACCTGGTTTTAGACCTGGTTTTAGACCTGGTTTAGACCTGGTTTAGACCTGGTTTTAGACCTGGTTTTAGACCTGGTTTAGACCTGGGTTTAGACCTGGGTTTAGACCTGGTTTAGACCTGGGTTTAGACCTGGTTTGGGCCTGATTTGGACCTGGTTTAGAGTCCAGCAATGAGTGGAATAAAAAAAAAGAAAAAGGGATATAGCCCGAAATGTGGAAAGAGAAAAATCCCGCCATGTAATCCATTTATTTCAACAAAGTAACTGTAATCCAATTACCACTCACTGAAACAGTAACTGTAACTGAATACAGTTACTCATCATTTGTACTCTGATTACGTAACTCCGGTACATGTAATCTGTTACTCCCCAACACTGCTTTCACGCAGCTACAGTGTTTTTATGCTGTAAACTGTTATGATTATTTCCGAATTTATGCACCTTTTGTTTAAAAGAGACGACAATAAATGCACTGACAGTGTTTTGAATGTTAAAAAACTATAATCCCAAATTCTGATTTCTGTTTACTATAATTACAAACCATAAAATCACAGGAAAGGGTTAACATTTCATATTTAGCCCTAAAAGTCTGATCAATTCTACACATTTAGGTGCCGTAAAATTCACTTTAGGACATGAAAAAGTCATGGATAAAATTTTGGAAATTTTGTCAGTGATAAAGAGTGGGAACCCTGATTGTAACAACCCGGTTACATATCCAGCCAGAACTACACACTTTGACAAAACTCTGACAGGTGGATTAACCAATCAGATGTATCAAAGAAAAAAACAACATAAAGGATCGAGAAACAGTGCAGATTTTAGCAGCTGTGATTGGAAATTCTCAAGCTTAGACAGAAGTTTGTCACGCTCTGTGGTTTTATTCCAAACCCTTCTGGATTCAAGCAGAATGTAGACGGGACTGGCTGCTCAGGCAACCAACCTGATACAATACAACTCTCCTGTCAATGCAGGGGTCATCAAACTCAGGCCTGTGGGCCGACGCCAGCCCTCCACTCCCCTCTGCCCGGCCCCCAGCCCCTCTGCCCCCACCACTTGATCTGGCGCTATGAGACAATCTTCAAAAGTTGTCACGGACTATTTATTTATTACTTCTTGGCATATAATAACACGTTTGCATCTTGTATTTTTGTTGATTTGCTCAATTTAAAAAAAATAAATGTATATGTAGTATTTGTATTTGAATAATTATATGACGTATTTACATTTACCACCGAATTTTCGTCACCCGACAAGATCGAGATCAAACAGTGACAGTCGTGCAGAGTTCTGTAGTGCAGGACAAAAAATGGTGAGCGTCAAAGTACGAAAACTTGACAGAGTGCTGAATTTTCAAAGAACAGTGTATGACAGATTATTTTTTTGTTCAGTGTAAGGACCGTGCAGTTTGTCTGATCTGTAAAGAAAGTGCGGCGGTTTTCAAAGAATATAATCTCCGCCGTCCGTCACAGTCAGGAGCGATAATGTGACCCCCAGAGAAAAAAGTTTGGTGACCCCTGAGTTAAAGTATATTCTGCACTGTCCCTGTCTCAGTAAATAAATGAATTAAACTATAACACCGTTGAGTTTAAAATATTATTTACCGTGACAGACACACTTTGTTTCGACAGAGTTACGACTTAATATTCTGATTTCTGTTTACTATAATTGCAAAACATGAGTATTTTTCAGAATAATAATGACACAGCACAGTTAGGAGGCACTGTTGTTTTTATTTTTCCTTTGGTTCACTTTCATATAATCTCAAATTATATGAAGTTAATAATAACTTTACACAAATGTGGTGGTGGGTAGATTTTTCTGCTTTGCTCTGTATTCGTGGGTCTCAGTTTCCAACACTTCGAGGACACTTTCCACATTCGGATCTGATATTTTGTCTTAAATTCTTAATCACTATGACAACAGTCCTCATTTCTCATTATTCTGAGACCCACGAATAAGCAGACCTCTATATGCCACGATTTATGATATTGATTTGATTTTGGTGTTGGTTTTTCTCTCTCTGTTCTCCTCTCTCCTCTTGTCTTTATCTGTTCACTGCACCGTGGTGTTCAAACCTGCAGGGGGCGGTCTTTCCTCAGTCACCACATATCAGCTCTGGGACTCAGCAGGAGGTCCAGGTTTTTCACCAAGAGCAGCTCCATCTGTGAAGAGCCCGCTGCAGCGCACAGGTCTGTGTCAACAAACAGTGACATGGAGGAAAAGGAATCTGCAGCTACTTGAAAGTCTGTTTATTTTTCAACTCTCTCTGAAAATACTCTTATTAAAGGGCCTATATTACATTATTTCTCATCTATGTTAATGCATAATGTTGTTTTCTCATCACAAACTTGACTGGAGTTGTGTTTTGTTTCTTTCACACATGTTTAAACACACAAACCCTGCAGATTTACTAGGGGTGTAACAGTACAAAAATCACAGTTAGGTACGTACCTTGGTTTTGAAGTCATGGTTTGGTTAATTTTTGGTCCAATATGGGAACAAAATGCAAAACCAGTTGTGTTTTTATTAAACCAACAATTTATTTTAACATTATACAAACGGGAAAATAAAAGAAATGCAAAGTGCTGCTTGTTAATACTAATAAATTAAATAAAAATATTCTCACATAAGCAACAAATGTTTGAAATATTATAAAAAGTAAATTCCTTGTAAACAGTAAACAACAAAGGTTTTCAAAAAGTAAAGTGCAGCACTCACAGTTCCAGCATGAAGTTTTACTCAATGTTCATATTTTTGGCCAGAAAAAACAACTTGTCCACATTGTCTGCAGTAAGTGCAGATCTGCTGCAGTTTCAGAGCCCCCAGTAGTTGAAAATGCACTTTAACTATAGAGACAAAGGTGGCAAGTATGGACAGAGTGGAGATTCTTTGTCGGTGAAAGGTGAAAGTGAGGACGGCGGCGCGATGACTGTAGTTTTGGGAGGATTCACGTGGTTCAGATGAACATATTCAAGGCGTGGGGCAATTGTTGTCAAGTCGGTTGCCTTAAGTGCTGCGGGAAACACTGCCCCAATCATGGACAAGTTCCCTCGTGAATATTAAAGAGCCGAAATTTCTTGTAGCTGCAGATGTAGTGGTGGAATGTAAAAACACACAAATTGCACGAATTCACTCGTGCACAGCCCTGAACCGAACCGAACATCCTGTACCGAAACGGTTCAGCTTGAACACATGTACCGTTACACTCCTATATTTAGGCTTTAGGAGTGTCTCAAACTGAAAACATGGTAATACAGAAAGTGCTTACTGTGTTTTTAAACTCCATACACCTTCACTAGAATAATTTGGATGATTTCAGCCCTGGAATTATTCATCTCTACTGAACTGAAAGTAAAAGGTAAACTTTGGAGATGTAGACAGACTAATAATAAAGAATTACTCAAACATGTGAGAATGAAACAAAACACAACTCCAGCTATGTTTTTGAGAAGGTAACAACACGACTTAAAACTCACAACACTCCAATTTGTGTAATATAGGACCTTTAAAAGAACTCTTTGTAAGATTTTGTTTTGAACTGGTCCCAGATACGAGGCAGAAATGTTCAAATCAAACTCTACTGATAACAATTCTCATAGTGATTCATTCTTAATTACACAAAAAACATAACATTTATTTAAATATTGATGTATTCTTGCATGAAATTACCACATAAATAAGAACAAATACTCATTATTAAAACTCAAGCTTAAGAAAATCATTTGAAGCCTTTGAACAAGTTGGAAATACATAACTTTCTGAATGTTTTTACTTTTGTTTTGAGCAACTTTGGTATTTAGTTAACAGTTTTTTACATTTAGCTCAAAGTATTTCTAAATTTCATCTGTTTCATTGCTGTTTTCAATCAATTAATCAAACAAACGTTATTTATAGAAACCTTTTGAACACTCACGATGACCAAAGTGCTTTACATTAAAATTGAGACAATATAAAAACACGGAAAACAGTAAACGTTAAACAATTATTCTGTATTTTTCTTTTGTCTAACTGGCCGCTCTTGTGTGGCTGGATACACATTAGTTTAATTCATAGCCTCCGTGATTCTGCGAACACGATCGGAATGAAGCGTTGGCAGGACTCTGTGTTTTCAAACAGCAGTCCCTTCATACTTCTCCGTCCACTCATTCACTCCGTTTGTGTCTGTGTGTGTGTGTCTGTGTGTGTGTGAATGTTTTTTATTTTTCACTTTTTTTATTTAATTGTCTGTCTCTAGCCCCTCGCCCCCTGAACCGTCCCACTCGGAGCAGCAGTCTTCACAGGAGCAGAACAAGAGCGAGAGCAAAACCAGCTTCAAGTAAGTGCACCGGCGACATTTTGGGTGGGATTGTGCCGTTACCGTTGGCAACAGATTCAAACTTTAATATAATATGATTTTATGATTTACTTTTGACTTTTTAAAATACCTGTTATTGTTTTTTTGGTGATTATTTTTGCTTTTTTGAGTATTTGTGTTCACATGTGTTAAGAAAACCCAAATCATAATGCAGTTTTATAGGATACTTTTTTGACATATTTTTGTTTTTATGTGTCAAAACTGTGTCCTTTTATCCTTGGTTATCAGTTTCTTTTTCTATTCTTTATTTCTTTCTATTATTTTTCTTTCTATTCTATTTCTTCTATTCATTTTATAATTTTTTTATTTTATTTTTGTATTATTTATTATTTTTATTAACATTTTATTTTTTATTTATTTATTATTTTAACGTATATATTTTTTGTTTTTTTCTTTTCCTTCTATTATTCTATTCATTTAATTTATTTTTTTAATTTTATTTATTTATTTTTTATTTACATTTTATTTTTATATTTATTCATTGTTTTATTTTATATATTTTTTAATGTTTTTTTTTCTTTCTTTTCTTTCTATTCGTTTTATTATTTATTTTTATTTACATTTTATTTTATCTTTATTATTTTTATTTTATATATTTTTAGGATTTTCTTTCTATTCTTCTGTTCATTTTATTTATTTTTTATTTACATAAAATTTGTATACTTATTATTTTATTTTATATATTTTTTGTTTTTTTCTTTTCTATTTTATTCATTTTATTTATTTTTTATTTTATTATTTATTTTATAAATTTTTTTATATTTATTTGTTTAATTTTATATATTTTTATACTTTATATATTTATTTAAATGTATTTATTGTAATTATTATTTATTATAGTTCTTATTATTTATTTAAATTTGAGCAACTTAAAATTACAATGATCACCAATAATGGATATAAAAGTGAAAGCAATTACTTTACATAGATAAATTGTAAATTGTAACATATATACAAGTTCTACGCGTTGCCATGTTGTTAATTTCACTTTTCTTTACATATTTTTTTATTTGAGCAACTTAAAATCACAACGTTGAACTACAATGAGTTAAGAAATGTGTTTTTCTGTATCAGCACTATTATTTTTACGATGGTAGGAGGTAAAAAGTACTTGAAATCAGCTACGTACTACTTAGTTTCTAAATTTAATACACATTTTTTGAAGTAATAATATTCAAACTTTGGTTATTTCAAAGTTGTAACCTATACTGCTACTTTAAGGTAAAAATATGCATCATTTTAAGGTAATATGATGCAATTTTAACATAATTTGATGCATTCATTTTATATAAATGTTTAGTTTGTCTTTATTTAGCAGTTCTCACATTTACATCTGTGTGTTTTGCTCATCTTCAAACAGCTTATTTAACCTTTTTAACTCTTCTTCTTTCTCACCGTTTCGTATTTACAGCCGTGTTTGTTTTTCTAATCTTCAAAAACTCTTTATTGAACTCGTGTATTCTGTTACAGCTCTATCGCAGTCGCTACTTCAGATTCTAATGATATTTATTTTTGCTTAAACTTCCTCTCCTCTTTTTCCGACGCTCTCTCTTCTCGTCTTCCTCCTGCTCCTCTCCAGCTCTGGGGAGGATGAGCCCGTGTTTTGGTGAGTACATTCTCTTCTGCCTCTGTCCTCCTCTTTATTCGTGCTTTTTATGGTCAGTAACTCTGCGTCGTTGGCATCCGGCTACAAAATAAATAATTAAAATGAAATAAAATGACAGGAATTTTCATATTAAACAGTGAGGAATAGTTTTTTTTAACAACTATGGTCTGACCTTGAAACCAAAAATGAGTTATCTGACATTTCCTTGTAAGGTTCTGCACGTTATTCTAATTTGTAGTTCAAGCAGGACGTTGACCCAGGAGAAGGCGACTGGACGGTGACAGAGTCCTGCACGGGTCCGTTTTTGGAGAACCGCACCCGTCCGTTAACCCGAGATTATATTAAAGTTAAACCTGCACCCGCCCGGACCCGTTAACAGTCCAATACCCGTTACCCGCCCGAACTCGGGGTCAGCCCATTAGTCCGACAGCCCAATAGTCCAGGACTGAACCCGGACTAAACCAGGACTGAATTTACACTGTGTCATTAGTGGATTATAAATATATACACGCCACAAACCACTGAGCCAACGTCAGGACTGGACCAGGGCTGGACCAGGGCTGGACCAGGGCTGGACCAGGGCTGGACCAGGACTGGACCAGGGCTACACCAGGCTAAGACCAGATCTATACCAGGACTAAATCAGGACTACACTAGGACAGGACCAGGTCTAAACCAGGTCTAAACCAGGTCTAAACCAGGTCTAAACCAGGTCTAAACCAGGACTAAACCAGGACTAAACCAGGACTTAAACCAGGTCTAAACCAGGACTACACCAGGACTACACCAGGCCAGGACCAGATCTATACTAGGTCTCTACCAGGTCTATACCAGGACTAAATCAGGACAAAATCAGGACTACACCAGGTCTAAATCAGGACTAGACCAGGACTGGACCAGGACTGGACCAGGACTAGACCAGGACTAGACCAGGACTAGACCAGGACTACACCAGGACTACACTAGGACAGGACCAGGTCTACACTAGGTCTAAACTAGGTCTAAACTAGGTCTAAACCAGGTCTAAACCAGGTCTAAACCAGGTCTTAATCAGGACAAAATCAGGACTACACCAGGTCTAAACCAGGACTAGACCAGGACTACACCAGGACAGGACCAGGTCTACACTAGGTCTAAACTAGGTTTGAACCAGGACTAAACCAGGTCTAAACTAGGACTTAACCATTTCTAAACCAGAACTAAACCAGGACTACTCCAGGCCAGGACCAGATTTATACCAGGTCTAAACCGGGTCTAAACCAGGTCTAAACCAGGTCTAAACCAGGACTAAACCAGGACTAAACCAGGACTAAACCAGGTCTAAACCAGGTCTAAACCAGGACTAAACCAGGAGCCGATCTCCGCCTGCTGATGGTTTTATGTAATCAAAACACAAAAAAGTCTCTCTCAACCTGGTCCATCCTTCTGGGAAATGTCACTTGTTTCCAGGGCAACGGACGTCCTGGACATGCTTCAAGTATTTTTCTCCTGTTCTACCCGCCCGTAAAATTCCAGAAAGTTAAAACCTTCCGACCCGGTGCAGGACTAAGAAAAATGACATTGTCCAACTTTAATTAGATTTTAGCAGTATTTTGTAGCTGGATCCCAAATTTTCTGGATGGTATTTATTTATATATTGCGTTAACTTTCAGTATACTATAAAGGTTGGGGTTTTACATTTTTAAAAACATTTCCTAATTAAATATCGTCCGTTTGGCTCTGTGCACTGCAGTATTCTGGCTGGCTCAGTGTGTCTCAAAGCTAACACTCACTTTTATTAAAATCCTAAAACATTAAAATTCAAATCAGTGAGGTTGCCAGGCGCTTTTGTGCACAGAGCCTATTAAACTAAATTAAATTCTGACAATACTAAAAGCAGGTAATCAGTAATGGTACAGACAGGTGATGGTGTTTGGGAAATTCTGGTTTAACTCGAGAAAATGTAACGCAATTTTTGACTTTGGAGCAGGTTAACAGATGGTGGAGGCTATGAAACGAATATGATTTAATTCTTTTATTCTTTACAAAAGTGTGTGTATATATATTTGTGTGTTACTATGTCCTTACAGCGCGGACGAAGTTAATGTTAAACAGGACAAACCCATTTTCAAGATGTTTGAGTAAGTACAGAAGAAGAAGAAGAGAATCTGGTGTGCGTGGTTTTACATTTTTTGCTATGAATTGTAATCATACTAAAGGTTTGTGTAGTAAATTTGGGGTGAATTTCAATTTCAAAGACAATATGATGGTTGCATGGTTGAGAAATTACAAGTACTGCATGTACTTTAAAGTTCTACTCAATCGAATATTTGTAATTGGTGACTTTCCACGCCTGAAAACTTGTGATCGTCGTTGTAAAAGCCAAGATTCACATCACACATTTTAAACATGTCCAGTGCAAGTCTCAGTGTAACTTCACAGTGATTTTAGCTGGAGTCTTTTGTGGCGTCTCTAAATCCGTGTGGAGACGTGTTTCTGTTGGACCTCGGTTCAGTCCATTTGTGGTTCAGGCACAAACAATAGAAATGTAAAAATCCAGAATCTGAGACAAAATGATCCACTAAAACATCTGACCAAACAGACTGATTATAGATTAGGACTAAATTGAGGACTGAAACCAGGACTGTACCAGGACTAACCCAGGACTGTACAGGGACTGTACCATAGACCAAGGACTGGACTGAGGCTGGACTGAGGGTTGGAGTTGAAATGATCTGATTAAAGCGTTGATAAATCATCTGGGATGATAAATTGTCTGGGTTGATGATTTTGGGGTGTGTAGTTTTAGTGGGTGACCATCGGGTGGCGCTGTTTGCAAATCAAGCAGATATTATCACAAAAGTGAATCAAAACAACTCATGCTAGTAAACTTTTGCAGCCTATGTTTTGCTGCTAACCCAAGCAGCTAACAGGCAGTTCTCTTCTAGTCAGGCTGGCGGCACCTAGTGCCTCCGCTCAATTAAATTTCTCTCCAGCGACTAGATCAGGACGGTTTGCAAAAACCCCAGAATTTGTAGACCGCACACAGGCCAGTCAGTGAAGAGCTGTGAAGCCATGACGTCAAACTCAAGTGTCTGTCTGAGTCCCTTTTGTGGAACAACACAACAGTAAACAAAGTGGTCGAGATGGATGTAGACGAAGACAGACATCCTGTGTTGGCAACGATTCCCGAGATTGAAGATTTAAAGCCGGAACAAAACAATGATTGGTGAATTTTATCAGGGGTAAAGACGTTATTGCCGTTCTTCCTACAGAATTTAGCACATTACATACGTCACGACCAAATAGCAGCAATTGGTTAAATAAAAAAATTACCCACCTACCGTCAAACAAACAAACCCTAATGCTGCGAAGTCAGACCCCACATTTCCACTCCAACAATCAGAAAGAAATCATTGTAAAAGTTTTCTGAGTCCAGTTGTTTTGATTCATTTTCGTGATAATATCTTATACCTGGACATCTTAAGAACTGTTTCAATGAAATCAAGATTTATTTTATTGTTTATATTTTGGGTTTTTTAACTTGGAAATGGTGTTTTTCTGATTGATGTGTTTTTGCAGTGATCAAATGCTGTAATCATATTTTTTCTACCAATGGTTTTTCACAAGCTGCCAACAACTTTCAGCTCTAGTCAAAGATGTATTTAATTAAATTTCCTAACCTTAAAGATGCACTGTGTAACAAGCAGGTGTGGGACCCTCCACCCGAAAAGTTGCACAATGCACCTTTAACTATAGACATGAAAATCAATTGAAAAATGTCAAAAATTAATTGCATTAGCTCATTAAAGGTACAGTATGTAACTTTTTAGGTGGCACCTCACCTGCACGATTCAATGAAAATGGAAAATTAAAACCACAGTTAAGAACATTTTCCATAGAGATAGATACATTTTATGTCATACTGTCAAATATTATTAGCACCTAGTGCCTCCGCTCAATTTCAGTTCTCTCCAGTGACTAGGTCAGGAATCAAAATACACTAGACAGTTCTCAAAAACTCTGGAAGTGCGAGTTCGGGCACCAGCCAATCAGCAAAGAGCCGTACATTCTGTGTTGACAACGATTCCTGAGATTGAGGATTTGAAGCCGGAACAAAGTGAATGTTTGGTGAATTTTATCAAGGGGAAAGACGTTATTGTCCTTCTTCCTACGGGATTTGAGAAAAGATTAATATACCAGTTATCCCTGTTAGCGGCGCATTACATACGTCACGACCAAATAACAGCGATTGGTTAAATAAAAAAAAGTACCCCCCTACCATCAAGCGAACAGATTCTAACACTGTGAGGTCAGATGGTTTCTACAAAGTGAAACCGGCTGATGAATCAGGCTGGCGCCACATAGTTCCTTTGCTCAATTTAATTTCTCTCCAGCGACTAGGTCAAAGAAATCAGAATACACTAGACAGTTTGGAAGTTGTAGACCGTGCACCTGCCAATCAGCGAAGAGCTGTGAAGTCATGACGTCAAACTCAAGCGTCTGTCTGTGTCCCTTTTGTGGAACAGCACAACAGTAAACAAAGCGTTGAGATGGATGTAAACAAAGACAGACATTCTGTGTTGGCAACGATTCCCAAGATCAAGGATTTAAAGCCGGAACAAAACAATGTTTGGTGAATTTTATCAAGGGGAAAGACGTTATTGTCTTTCTTCCTACAAGATTTGGGAAAAGCTTAATATACCAGTCATGACCAAATAGCAGCGATTAGTTTAATAAAAAAGTACTCACCTACCGTCGAACGAACGAATCTTAATGCTGCGAGGTCAGACGGTTTCCACGAAGTGAAACCGGCTGATGAATCAGGCTAGAATATTATAGCCAAAGAAACAACATCTCCATGGAAACCAGCAGGAGAGACCCTTATGAGGCTAAATAAGAGCCATGTTTGTGGAGATGCAAGCCCGCTCAGAGTGATTCGATACTGTTTAATGGCTAAATCATGGCTGTAATACTAAAAGTCTTTATTAAACCACTTCTTGTGCAAAGTTCATATGAAACACAAACATTTTAATCATCAAAACAGTGAAAATGTTAAATGTGTTGCATAAAAGACATTCCTTCCTCTGAATAAGCAACAAAACTGTAGCACTGTAACAAAATAAATTAGTAAAATATACCAAAAAAATACTCTTGGCGATATATCGATACAGCAGCCCGCGATATCGATTCTGTATCATCACATTAAACAATACGATATAAGGATATTTCAATATTTTTCAATGCATTTAACACAACCAGAATTGAATAAAACAACCTGCATGACTCTTTAAAAGTGACATACTCTGGCTTTAAATTAAATAAAGCAGTAGTTCTTAGTATTTCTGTTTTAATAATTTCAACAACTTTAACAGCAGCTTGTGAAAATCCACTGCTTTGATTGTTATGTGATTTATATTTGCTTTTTAAAATCTCTTATGATGATCTTATAAAATCTTGTATTGTTTTCCCGCAGAGACAACTTCCTGCGTAGCCTGGCAGCGACCCAGTGGGAGAAGAGGAGACGGAGTAAACAGCGTTCTCGTCTGGCCTCCACCGATGACGCCGTCGCCCCGACCCCGACCCCGCCCCCGCCGACCAAAGAGGAAACGAGCAGCGTCCCAGCAGAGGATCACACTCCACAGAGTAATAAGAACCCGAGAGCAGACGGACATTCACGGGTTTTATTTGTGTCTGGCACGTTGATGTTTGAGGGAATTTTACAACTTCACTATTCTGAAGGTTTTCACTAAATAATTAAAATAAAACCTGAAAATCTCATTAAAGGTGCACTGTGTAACTTTTCTTGAGAAGCAGGTGGTATACCCTCTACCAGTGCAACTTTAAAGAATGATTATTACACAAATTTAGATCGCCATGTTAACTTTTATTGTTTTATTGAAAGTTCTGTATTTAATAGGATTGGATTTGACTAGAACTGGGCTAAGACTGGGCTGAGACTGGGGGGTAGAACTCAGTTAGGACTCGGCTAGGACTGGGCTAGGACTGGGCTAGGACTGGGCTAAGACTGGGCTAAGACTGGGCTAAGACTGGGCTAAGACTGGGCTCTGGACTGGGCTCTGGACTGGACTGGCTAAGACTGGGCTAAGACTGGGCTCGGACTGGGCTCGGACTGGGCTCGGACTGGGCTAAGACTGGGCTAAGACTGGGCTAAGACTGGGCTAAGACTGGGCTAAGACTGGGCTAAGACTGGGCTAAGACTGGGACTAAGACTGGGACTAAGACTGGGACTAAGACTGGGACTAAGGGACTAAGACTGGACTAAGACGGGACTAAGACGGGACTAAGACGGGACTAAGACTGGGACTAAGACGGGACTAAGACTGGACTAAGACTGGACTAAGACTGGGCTAAGACTGGACTAAGACTGGGCTAAGGACTGGGGCTAAGACTGGGCTAAGACTGGGCTAAGACTGGGCTAAGACTGGGCTAAGACTGGGCTAAGACTGGACTAAGACTGGGCTAAGACTGGGCTCGGACTGGGTGAAGACTGGGCTAAGACTGACTGGGCTAAGACTGGGCTAAGGGGCTAGGACTGGGCTGGGCTAGGACTGGGCTACTGGGCTAAGACTGGACTAAGACTGGGCTAAGACGGACGGGACTAAGACGGACTAAGAGACGGGACTAAGAGACGGGACTAAGAGACGGGACTAAGAGACGGGACTAAGACGGGACTAAGAGACGGGACTAAGAGACGGGACTAAGAGACGGGACTAAGAGACGGGACTAAGAGACGGGACTAAGAGACGGGACTAAGAGACGGGACTAAGAGACGGGACTAAGAGACGGGACTAAGAGACTAAGAGAGGGATATATTTCTTGACTGAACTTGGCCTGAACTAGAATTGGACTTGGACTAGACCAGAACCTTTTATTGTTTAGAAAATGTGATATTTGCCAAGAACAACGTATTAATGTTTTATACGTTTCTAGATATATGACTCAAACATGCCTGGATGACACATAAAACCACCTCATTTTTTAGGAGCTTTCTACCGTGTTATAACTTTTCCTCATCAAAAAATGGATTTCATCTTTAATGTAGCACAATCTGTTAAAAAATGAAACCAAAAACACAACTACAAACTACAGTAAAAGTTGAAAGCTGGTCTGGCTGGAAGTTTTTTTTTCCTGTAAACTAATGATGTTGTTTTATGGTGCAGGTTCAACAAACTGGAGTTCAGACACAAACGGACACACAGACTCACAAAATGAAAAAGGTGAGTAACTGATCACTGTTAGCATGCTAGTTGTTGTTGTGGAGTGGCACGAAACTCTGCTCTGGTGAATGTGGATTGTTGATTAATTAAGAAAGTGTTACGAAAATGATGAATGAGTCTGGACTTCTGCAAACAGTTTAAAATGAGCTGGTTTTGTTTTTCATGTTTTAAAGACGGTATAAATCAGGTACAGCGCCTTAAAGAGCCTCTTAAACTTTATTATTATTATTTATTTACATGTATTTTCTTCTTTCTGTTGACAGCCGGTTCATACCAGAGACCGGCCAGCACTCTGTCTGAAGATAAGAAGTTTGTCCTGGACATGCTCTACTCCAAGTCCAGCCCTGATCCTCTGAGCTCCATAGAAGAGGGCTCCTCACAGCCCGCAGACAGACGTGAGTGTCTGTGAGGTTTAATCAGCAGAATCATGCATTTCAAGGAAGAAAGTGACTCAGTGGTTAGAGCAGTGGCCCCCAATCTAAAGGTCAGAGGATCAGTTCTTGCTCATACCAAGTTCCTTACCAAAGGACACAGCAGCTTCCACTAGAGCCACTGCTGCCCCCCTGTAGCACCTGGGATTCACAGCGGTCTCTCATTTAAAGTACTAACCAGGCCTGGCTTTTTAATGTGCACTGTCTCTATCAAGTAAATACATAGTGGGGCGCCAGTGATTAACAAAAAAAAAAAAAAAAAAAAAAAAACTGCTGTTCTGTCCTTTGGCAAGACACTTCACCCACATTGTCTAAATCAGACATGTCAAACTCTGGCGAAATTTGGCCCGCGAGGTCATGTCAAATATGTTTTAGAGCTGCCCGCCGCTACAGATAAACTATAGAGACATTATTTATTTAAAATGTTGTTATTATTTTGTATTTTGCTTGTTCTGGATTCAATGTTTAAGCAAAGCTATTATTAAACATTTAACATTTAAAATGTTTAACAATACTTATCTTGAAAGAAGAGAAAACATGTAAATATTTCCCATAGTTTGTCCCACGACTTAGTTCCAGTTTTTAATTTTGGCCTCTGTGAATTTGAGTTTGACACCCCTGGTCTAGTTAGTATGAATGGAGTGAATGAATAATGCTCTGTAAAGCATCTTTGAGCGCTATATAAATCTGATCCATTATTATTATTATTGATTAAACAAATATGCATTATCCAGCAACAAAATAAAATAATAAAATCAAGTACATTTCTACTTCAGTTGTTTTATTAACCCCCCTCTCCTCTCGTCTCTGTCCCAGCCCGCAGACCTCTGGTGATGGTGGTGTCCGGGGGAGACACGGGCAGTGTGGGTCGTGTGCTGGAGCGTCTGTCCAGCATCAGGCGCTCAGTGGAAAGTCCCACTGACACCAGCGCCTCCCGCAGGGCAGAGCTGGAAGGACTGGAGGGCTCCGCACAGGCCGCTCTGGCTCGACTCGCAGAGGAGAAACAGGTGAGTTTACACGAACTCCAACAGAGACAAAAGCTGGTGAAATGAATGTCAGATTTTGGTTTTACTCATATGTTTATTGTACATTTTATTTTGTTCTTGTTTAACTGTTAAAGGGCCTATATTATGCTGTTTTCAGATTTATCTATTTTATAATGTATCTGAAGTTGTGTAGTTTTATTCACACGTTTTAACACACAAACCCGCATATTTAGAGTTTTTCTCTCGAACTGTAATACAGGAAGTGCTCCACTGTGTTTTTAAACTCTTCACCTTCACTAGAATAATTTTGATCATTTCAATGTGTCTGTCTGTGTCTCTCTCCACAGACTCGCTCTCTCCGGTCTCAGGCCAGTGTGGACATCGAGACCCACACCAAGCGTCTGGAGGGGACTCAGATGACCCCTCTGGGCTCAGGAGGCTCCGAGGCCTGGGACCAGATCCAGCCCTCGGCCGCATCCCTCCGCATCAAGGACCTCGACTTCTCAGGTCTCAGTTTTTAAAATAATTTTTAATTAGTATCATGTCTATTGGTTTCAGTAGCATATCAGTGATGTAAGAGGTTTCCCCAATATTGAAAATTGTTCCGTTTTTTTTTTTTTTTTTTAAATATACAATTAGTTTTATTGTTATTGTCATGTAAATCACAATGAAATACAGTAAAATGTATCAGCACATATTAAAAAGTGGGGTGTTATATACCAGTTTTTATTTCACTTTCCACCATGTTATAATGTTTTCTCTCCAAAAACATGCCTGAAGAGATTTTAGATGTCATCAATGCATGTTTGAGTAATCTAGTGATCTCTCCTGGGTGCTATTTAAAGCCTCATTTAAACCAAAGCCTGTGTCACCCATGCTCCCACAATATATATACAAATATACAAAAACAATAACACAATAGTAATAATTAAGCACTTATTATTATGCATTTTACTGTTAGCTAGCTATGAACGTGTGGTCCCTAAACTAAAGTGTTATTTAAAGCCACCATCCATAATTAGATTAGCTGACCCACCCCTGTTGTATTCTCACGTATCACCACTAGAGGCTTCCTATGTTACTGCACAGGTGAAGGGACGGGGGCAGGTTTCACATTTGCCATCTGCTCATGAAAATGAATCAAATAGCCTCACACAGTGGTGTAGTGGAAATTTTTAAGTGGGGGTACGTGATTCGTGAGGTCAGCGATGTGATGAATCTGGCCCAACAAACCAGGACTAAACCAGAACTAAACCAGGACTAAAATGGGGCTAAAACAGGACGAAACCAGGACGAAACCAGGACGAAACCAGGACGAAACCAGGACAGGACGAAAACAGGACGAAAACAGGACGAAAACAGGACGAAAACAGGACGAAAACAGGACTAAAACAGGACTAAAACAGGACTAAAACAGGACTAAAACAGGACTAAAACAGGACTAAAACAGGACTAAAACAGGACTAAAACAGGACTAAAACAGGATTAAAACAGGACTAAAACAGGATTAAAACAGGATTAAAACAGGAAAAACAGGAAAAAACAAAAACAGGACTAAAAGGACTAAACAGACTAAACAGACAAAACAGGACTAAAACAGGACAAAACAGGACTAAACAGGACTAAAACAGGACTAAAACAGGACTAAAGCTAAACCACCAACCAGGTCTAAACCAGGTCTAAACCATGTCTAAACCACGTCTAAACCACATCTAAACCTCGTCTAAACCAAGTCTAAACCACTCTGCGCCCGTCTTTTCGCCTGCGGTCACCCAACAGTCTACGTGGGCGCACCTCTGGGCCCATCCACTTAGTCCTAGTTCAGTCCTCCTGGTTCAGTCCTCCTGGTTTAGTCCTGTATTTAGTCCTGGTTCAGTCCTGGTCCCTCATGTCTCAGGTCACTTTAGGACAGTTAAGTTGTAGACAATTTTATATATATTTTTTTTTTATATCTCGTTGGGAGAAGTGGGTAGACGGCGTACCCCTGCGTACCACACCCCTGGACTTACACATAGTAAGTCATATTTTTATTACTGCTGACTTCTGTTGTGTACTTTCTCAGACCTGCTCGATGAAGAGGACATTGACGTGTTGGACATGGACACTATGGATGCGAGTTCTCGTTTATCAGGGGCCCCTCCTCCCCCGCCTCCTCCGCCTGGCTCTGGACCTCCACCTCCCCCGCCTCCCCCTCCTCCGCCTGGGTTTGTGTCTGGGATACCCCCACCTCCCCCTCTTCCCCCCGGCTCTGCTCCACCACCTCCCCCGCCCCCTCCTCCTCCTCCTCCTGGGTTTGTTTCAGGCGCTCCTCCACCTCCCCCTCCTCCTCCTCCACCACCAGGGGGCGGCATTCCCTCGGCCCCGGCCCCTCCTCCCCTGGGCTCTGCGTTCGGAGACGTGCCCAAGAAGAAGAAGAAGACGGTGAAGTTGTTTTGGCGGGAGCTGAAGCAGGCGGACGGGGGACCTCAGAAGTGCAGGTTTGGGCGCGGGACCGTGTGGGCGTCGCTGGATAAGGTTACCGTGGATACCGCCAAACTGGAACATCTGTTTGAGTCCAAGGCCAAAGAACTGCCCATGAACAAGGTGACAACACTCTGGAACCAAACATGACTTTTCAGCCATTTTACCCAACTCACTGTACCTGATTTTTCTCTTTTAAAACGTGAAATGAGTTTACTCTGCGCAGTTTTCGAGAGCAGAGTCACATAAAGCTAACAGCAGCAACTAGCATGCTGATGCTCACTTCCTGATTCTCTAACAACTGAATACTTGAGGTAATTAGATTAAGTTTAATATTACAACGTTAGCCTCACCACTGGGATTTTCTGTCACTGTGTCCTTAAGCTAGACACTTCCAATCAGGAGTCCAGAGCGTAGTTTTGCCGTAAAGCTAAGAGCAACTAGCATCCAAATGTGCACTTGCTGATTACTGGACCATTTAAAACTTTATAATTAGATTATTAGATTTGTTTTAATATTGACCCTTAGCTTCACCACCAGGGTTGATTGTGTCCTTGAGCTAGACACTTCCAGTCAAGAGACCAGAGCGTAGTTTTGCCACAAATCTAACAGCAACTAGCATGCTAACACGCACTTCCTGATTCTCTGAAAATTTCATTCTTTATAATTAGATTAGTTTTAATTTTCCAACATTCCACCACCATCACCTCACTATTTAAGAGACCAGAGAATAGTTTTGTTGTAAAGTTTATAGCCACTAGCATGCTAACACCCACTTCCTGATTTTGGGACCATTTAATACTTTATTAGATAATTAGATTTGTTTTTATATTGCCTTAGCCTCACCATCAAGGTTGTCTGTCACTGTGTCCTTGAGCTAGACACTTCCAGTCAAGAGACCAGAGCATAGTTTTGTGATAAAGCTAACAACAAATAGCATGCTAACACACACGTCCTGATTCTCAGACAGTTGAATACTTGAGATGATTAATTTTAATATAACAACATTAGTCTTACGACCAGGGTTGTCTCTCATTGTGTCCTTGAGCTAGACACTTTCACTGAAGAGTCCTTCTGCCATAAAGCTAACAACAACTAGCATGCTAACTCGCACTTCCAGATTCTGACAGTTGAATACTTTATTAGATGATTAGATTTGTTTTAATATTGCAATGTTAGCCTTACCTCCAGAGTTGTGTGTCATTGTGTCTTTGAGCTAGACACTCCCAATCAAGAGACCGGAGTGTAGTTTTGCCGTAAATCTAACAGCAACTAGCATTTTAACACGCACTTCCTGATTCTCTGACAGTTCAATACTTGAGATGATTGAATTCATTTTAATATTGCAACTTTAGCCTTACGACCAGGGTTGTCTGAGCTGGACTCTTCGATCAAGAGACCAGAGTGTAGTTTTGCCATCACAATAACTAGCATGCTAACGTGCACTTCTTGATACTTGGACAATTTAATGCTTTATTGGTTGTAGACAGTACAGAGTGGACTGATTTTGATCTCAAAAGTTGCTTATGAGGTAGAGGGCCTTTAGAATTATTATTATTATTATATTATTATTATTATTATGTTTATTTATTTCGGACAGTAATACATAGAACATAAATTAAAAAACAAAAACAAAAAACTAAATAATAAAAAAAAGACAAAAACGTAAATACATAGATATAACACAAAAAGTAACTATTTCTATTCTATAATAACAGGCAAAATAAATGTTACGCAGAATTTTAATGTGTCCGAAAAAGGAGTGGGAGGAAGTAAATACTTATTTAACCCCACCCCTTTTTTCTACAGTCCCAAATTAACGAAGAACAAATACAGACTTCTCATTTCCTGTACATTATAAGCAATAATTGCACAGTACCTCCATTGCATTACAATCTAACAGACAACAACAAATATATGTATATTATGTACACAGATATAGTACACATCATATACACAGATATAATATATACATACCTACATACACATCACATACCCATGCATACCTATATATATATATACATATATATACACCCATATACATACACATACATATACATGCACACATATACCCTAAGCACTCATTTCTTCCGCACAGTATTTTGAAATAATTAATTTTTTAATTGCCCTTTTGAATACATGTATATTCGAACAAAGTTTTAATTCTATTTTCAAGTTGTTCCATAATTTCACACCACAAACAGAGACACAAAAACTTTTTCTTGTCGTTCGAGCACGAGGCAATTTAAAATTCAAAACGCCTCTTAAGTTATAGTTTGTTTCCCTTTCACAAAAAAGTAGTTGAAGATTTTTTGGTAAGTGCTTATTTTTAGCTTTATACATGACTTGTGCAGTTTGGTACAGAATCAAATCATTCAGAATAAACACACACTGACTGAAATCCGCATAATCTGAATTCATAATAATAATTAAACATTATTATTTTTGACCCAGACTTCCTCCAGGGCATCAGGTACAATCGCACACTATCCACCTACAGTAGAATGTCCTCATGAAACTCTCTGTTGCGGTTGTGTTTGTGCAGAAAGGGCCGGAGCTGAAGAAACCTGAGATCCTGGTGCTGGACTCGAAGAGGAGCAACGCCATAAACATCGGGATGACGGTTCTTCCCGCTGTTCACGTCATCAAGAGTGCCATTCTCAACTTCGACGAGTTCGCCATCACCAAAGAAGGCATCGAGGTACAGTCTCTGTCAAACTTTACGGAGTTACATTTACATTTACATTTACCAAAACCCCTTGACCCCGATTATTGAGGTTTTCAAGAAAGCAAATAGATTAAAGAGCAGATATTTTATTTCTATGGCGTATTAACTGCAAACACATAACATATTTAGATCACTATGCTACGTTTTATTGTTTTGAAGATGCTATATTCACCGAAAACAACATATTAACATGTTTTATAAGTTTCAATAAGTCCCACCTCCCTTTGCTAAGTCACTCCCCCTTCAGAGCGCTATAACATTATAATCATTGTGCATCCCGCCAATAAAACTACTGCACATCGCATCAGTTTTGTCAAGTTGTTGTGTACAGTTTTGTATCGTGTTTTTGTGTTTTTATGGAGAATTGTCATGTGGGGGCATATAAAGAGAGTTTGAACAGGCCCACGAGAGATCACTAAATTACTCAAACATGCATGGATGACGTCTATAACCACTTCAGGCATGTTTTTTGATAAGGGAATGTCATTGTAACATGGGAGAAAGCTCAAAAACTCGATTTTGCGTAATACCCCCTCTTCAAAACACTTGTAATCAGACAAAAGTGTCGTTTTTATTCAAATATTTCAAGATTTAGAAGTTGATTTGCCACTTTTCAACAATATTGAAGCTTGTGTGAAAAAGTTACAGGCACAGGTGGGACCGAGTCGTTATTTTGTAAGCCTCAAGTAAACTTTTCACCTCAAGTCCAAGTCAAGTCCCACGTCAAAAATAGGCAAGTCGAGTCTCAAGTCACTGGTCCATAAGTCCAAGTCAAGTCCAAGTCGTCTGCTCTGAGCTTCAAGTCATTTCAAGTCTTTAAACCAAAGTACTAAGCTTAGATTTTTGCAATTTATATGAATTTTGAACTAAATTGTATTTAAAAGTCATGGTATATTTATTTAAGAGTTGTATTAATGCAAATCTTTCCTTTTTAAATGTTTTGACAAGATCTTAGTGTGAATCATTACGGTCAGAATAGAAAGAATTCAGATTTAAGAGCTATATAAGACTTATTTTCTTGTCTCGTCTGCACTGAAATGGACGGATCATGTTCTATGTAGTTCCCTCTGTATATTACTGCATTGTACTGTATATTACTGTAGTACATTTGAGGGTATTACATCACAGTACTTCAGTTACATCCAAAGGACCAAACAGAGAAGTGGGAGGGACATGTTCCAGTTTGTTTCTTTAAAATTAAGCACCGCATTTACCAACTATAGAGACAAAAGTATTTTCTAAAAACAGACTAGTCTTCTCAAGTCACAGGGTTCAAGTCCGAGTCAAGTCCCGAGTCTCTGACCTTCAAGTCCAAATCGAGTCCCAAGTCTTAGTCCATTTTATCAAGTCAAGTCTGAAATCCTAAAAATAGTGACTCAAGTTTGACTCGAGTTTCCACCTCTGGTTACAGGTCTCCTTAAACCAAGCTATTTGGGTAAACTTCACCAAAACACACAGCTGTCTGTTCAAAATAATGTCAGAAAACTTAGCAAAATACTGTTGATATTTTAACTTTAACACTGCCTGTATGTCTGAACATGAGTTTGATGAGTTATTGTATATTTATAATCCAGATTACAGCTCCCAGTGGCATATTTTAAAGATGAGGTTCGGGCAGTGCAGATGGTCCACAGGAGTCTTTTGCAGTTTAAGCAGATTCAGGTTCATCTAATTGAGTTCTAAATTAGATTTTGAACTGCCGCTGGCTCAGGTTGGGTTTAAATTGATGCACTGTCTGCTTGTCTGCTCTCCCGAGTGGTTAAATAAAAGACGATAAAAACTAAAGAGAGAGAATATGGCCTTGTTCACACCTCCATGCACTTTGTATCAAAAATGAGACTAAACCCAGAACTAAACCAGGATTAGAAGCTTGAACTCTGCCTAAATCTCTGCTTTGCCATGACTAAACCACAACTAAACCAGGACTAAACCACAACTAAACCAGGACTAAACCAGGACTAAACCAGGACTAAACCACAACTAAACCAGGACTAAACCACAACTAAACCAGGACTAAACCACAACTAAACCAGGACTAAACCAGGACTAGAAGTTTGAACTGTGCCTAAATAACTACTGAGCCAGGACTAAACCAGCACTAAGACCCAGGCCTGAAACCAGACCCTAAATCAGGATCTAAACCAGGCCCTAAACTAGGCCTTAAACCGGGATCTAAACCAGGCCCTGAACCAGGCCCTAAACCAGGACCTAAACCAGTCTCTAAATCAAGATCTAAACCAGGCCCTAAACCGGGATCTAAACCAGGATCTAAACCAGTCTCTAAATCAAGATCTAAAACCAGGCCCAAAACCGGATCTAAACCAGGATCTAAAACCAGTCTCTAAATCAAGATCTAAACCAGGCCCTAAACCGGGATCTAAACCAGGATCTAAACCAGGCCCGAAACCAGGTCCTAAACCGGGATCTAAACCAGGCCCTAAACCGGGATCTAAACCAGGCCCTAAACCGGGATCTAAACCAGGCCCTAAACCAGGGATCTAAACCAGGCCCTAAATCAGGATCTAAACTAGGCTCGAAACTAGGCCCGAAACCGGGATCTAAACCGGGATCTAAACCAGGATCTAAACCAGGCCCTGAACCAGGCCCGAAACCAGGCCCTAAACCGGGATCTAAACCAGGCCCGAAACCAGGCCCTAAACTGGGATCTAAACCAGGCCCTAAATCAGGATCTAACCCTGGCTCTAACCCTGGACCTAACCCTGGCTCTAAACCAGGCCCTAAACCAGGATCAAAGAGACTTGTACAATGAAGAACCAGGACCAGATGTGAACTCAAGCCAAGACATACGATAATATTTTATTGTAATATGAGTACTGTATAACACATGATATTGTTGGTTAGACTGAGGTATTTTTTCTTAACTTTTTTCCTTTCTTTTCTCTCTGAGCAGAAGATCTTGACCATGGTGCCCACAGAGGAGGAGAAGCAGATGATCCAGGAGGCTCAGCTCGCCAACCCCGACGTCCCTCTGGGCACAGCTGAACAGTTCCTCCTGAGTCTGGCCTCCATCAGCGCCCTGACCCCGAGACTACAACTCTGGGCCTTCAAACTCAACTACGAGACTCTAGAGAAGGTACAGCTCTCACCTCAACACAACACTGCACAACACTACGGTATTTTTTTATTTAGGTACTTTTTTAACTAACGGTCTTCTTTGAGATTTTATTGCCTTGTCAGTACCGTTCCACTGTATGGTATTAAACATTGATAGTGTTGTCATCAAGGCCGCACTAATCGAGACCAAGACCTGTCCGAGTCCACAGGGTCCCGAGGCCACAGGGTCCCGAGACCACAGGGTCCCGAGACTACAGGGTCCTGAGACCAAGACCTGTCCAAGACCACACGGTTCCGAGACCAAGAGACCAGGTCCGAGACCACAGTCCCGAGACCACAGGGTCCCGAGACAAGACCTGTCCCAAGACCACAGGGTCCCGAGACCAAAGACCTGTCCGAGGCCACAGGGTCCCGACCACAGGGTCCCGAGTCCAAGACCTGTCCCGAGACCAAGGTCCAGAGGGTCCCAGGACCACCAGGTCCCGAGACCACAGGGTCCCGAGACCAAGACCTGTCCAAGACCACAGGGTCCCGAGACCAAGACCTGTCCAAGACCACAGGGTCCCGAGACCAAGACCTGTCCGAGACCACAGGGTCCCGAGACCAAGACCTGTCCCGAGACCAAGACAGGTCCAAGACCACAGGGTCCCGAGACCAAGACCTGTCCGAGACCACAGGGTCCAGAGACCAAGACCTGTCCAGACCACAGGGTCCCGAGACCACAGGGTCCCGAGACCAAGACCTGTCCAAGACCACAGGGTCCCGAGACCAAGACCTATCCAAGACCACAGGGTCCCGAAACCAGGACAAGACCAAGACCTCTGAGGGTCGAGACCGAGATAAGCCTGAGACTTTCAAAGGCCAAGACCGAGACAAGACCAAGACCACGGCCCATCGAGACCAAATTGAGACTAAGTAGACTAAATCAAGACTATCCAAGTCCAAATACTGTGGAACCCGAGACAAGACTGAGTCCAAACGCGGTCGAGCCCGAGACAAGACCGAGTCCAAACGCGGTCAAGCTTGAGACTAGATGAAGTCCAAACACGGTCGAGCTCAAGACAAGACCAGGTGCTAACACGGTCGAGCTCAAGACTAGATCGAGTCCAAACGCAGTCAAGTCCAAGACTAGACCAAGACTGTAAAAAAAATGGTCTCGAGTCCAGTCTCGAAACCAAGACTGCTACTATGTTAAAAATGCATTCTTACTGTGAGCGGGGTCACCTCTCCACAGATCTGACCTGTAATTAAGTTTAGTTGCATCAACCTTTTGTCTTTGTTGTTGTACTGTGGAATATTTTGAGTGTGTGACATTTCCATAGAGACAAGCACCAATAATGTTACATAAATAGAGCAACTTTAAAATGCTCACTTCAAATGTGTTTATTTTTTCACTGGCACAGTAACAAATTGCCTCTGTTGTTCCTAACTGTAAAAGTTTATTTCCCCCCCCATAGATTATATTGTAAAATCAGGACTTTAAAATCAGCCCACTGTGCACAGTCTGCATGTAATAATAAAACCTGTTATCGCTTGTAAACCCAGAAGAATAAGATGTTAAATACTGTAATTATCTTCTGAATAGTCATTTTGAACTCAGTGGCAGCACCACATACTGCTGTGAACGAAAGCTGCATTGGGAACACATTGTTGTTTTATTACCTACTTTGTGGCCTCTGCTTTGAGTGCTGCTCCTGGAACATAATCATAGATGTTTTATGTTGGTTTGTGGTGTTTTGCAGGAGATCGCTGAGCCTCTGTTCGACCTGAAGTTGGGGATGGAGCAGCTGGCGTCTAATCAGACGTTTAAAAGGATCCTGGCCACGCTCCTCGCCATCGGGAACTTCCTCAACAGCTCCAACGTGAGAGAGAAAACACTTATTTAACCATATTTTTCAGACTATAGGTCACTCCGGAGGTTAAGTCACACCAGCCAAAAAATTAGTCATGGGGAAGAAAAAAACATATATAAATCGCACCGGACTATAAGTCGCACTTTTTTGGGGGAAATTTATTTTATAAAATCAGAGAGAGAGAGACATTTCATTCTGAAAGTCAAGTTCTAGTAATAACAATAAAACAGAGAACAACAGACTGTTAATGTCACATATGAACAGTTCTTCAGATAAACTATAACAAGAACAGAACAGAACAAGTTTAAAAACTCTCCATCTCACTCCAAATCACTAAATCCATTCAATTCTTCATCCTCGGTGTCACATTCGAACAACTCTGCGACCTCTGGAGAGGTAAACAGAGCTTCCTCTTCTGTGTCGCTGTCGTCAGACTCAGCATCAGTTCCAGTTAGAATTATTCCGGCCTTTTTGAATCCTGACAGGATGGTTTCAGTGTCACTGAAGTTCAGGCTTTGTCGATTCATCCAGTGACTTCAGGAAAGTTTCATGGTGCATATTGGTTACCGTGAAGCTGTGTTCTCCATCCCCGCTTTCCGCCAGTCCCTCACAAGTTTCTCGCTCACTCCAAACTTTTTTTGTGCTGCTCGATTACCATTTTCGGCCGCTTATTTCACTACTTGCAGCAGGACAGAGGCTTTTTCTGCAGGAGACATGTGCAGAAAACTGACACTCAAGCCTAGAGCCTCTCGTGTCTGTCAGTCTGAAAATTTTAGTATATAAGTCGCACGGAGTATAAGTCGCAGGAAAGACCCAAACCATGAAAAAAGTGCGACTTATAGTCCAAAAAATACGATATTACTTTTGATCATTCTCAGCTCTTTCTTTCTGAAATGATAAAACCCTTACAACATTGATTCTGTCACATCTTCTTGACCAGATATGTCAAGACCATAGATGTTTTGGTGCGTCCACTCCCTTCTCATGCCAGCAGGGGGCAGTAAACAACTTATAAAACCAGTCTTTGCAATTTCAAAATAATGGCTCTCTAAAATAACACTTTCAAAATACATATAATAAGAAATACAGCCATTAGAAAACTGGTGAAGCTAAATCGAGCGATACTTATATTCTATTCTACTGATTTTGTTTTCTTAAATTCTTAATCTTGTTTGTAAAATGTGCTCTGTCATTGATGGCTGGACGGGAAACAGCTGATTAAGTCGTTTTTGATGCTCATATCTGACGTGAACAGCAGACTTCCTGTGTTATTACCCGACACAAGCTCCTGATGTAACGTAGATTTCTGTGTTTGCGCCCACAGTTTAATCCCCTGTGTCTGTCTGTGTCTCTTGTTTCAGGCCAAAGGTTTTGAGCTGAATTACCTGGAGAAGGTGGTGGAGGTGAAGGACACGGTGCAGCGTCAGTCTCTGCTCCATCACACCTGTAACCTGGTGCTGGAGAAGTACCCCGAGTCCACAGACCTGTACTCGGAGATACCAGCCATCACCAGATCCGCCAAAGTAAATATGAATAATCAATAATTAAAACCAAGCTCAAAACAAGTTAACTCACTTCTGTCCTACATACATGTTTATTTAATTAATTGTAACAGCTCAAAAACTCGATTTAGCATAATCAGTGTTGGGGAGTAACAGATTACATGTACTGGAGTTACATAATCAGAGTACAAATTACGAGTAACTGTATTCAGTTACAGTTACTTTTTCAGTGAGTGGTAATTGGATTACAGTTACTTTGTTGAAATAAATGGATTACACTGAGGTATTTTCCTGTTTTCACATTTTGGGCTAAACCAGGACTAAAACCAGGACTAAACCAGGACTTAAACTAGAACTTAAACCAGGACTAAACCAGGACTAAACCAGGTCTAAACTAGGACTAAACCAGGACTTAAACTAGAACTTAAACCAGGACTAAACCAGGACTAAACCAGGTCTAAACTAGGACTAAACCAGGACTTAAACTAGAACTTAAACCAGGACTAAACCAGGTCTAAACTAGGACTAACACCAGGACTAAACAAGACTAAACCAGGACTAAAACCAGGACTAAACCAGGACTAAAACCAGGTCTAAACAGGTCTAAACCAGGACTAAAACCAGGACTAAAACTAGGTCTAAAACCAGGACTAAACCAGGTCTTAAACCAGGTCTAAAACCAGGTCTAAAACCAGGACTAAAACCAGGACTTAAACTAGAACTTAAACCAGGACTAAACCAGGACTAAACCAGGTCTAAACTAGGACTAAACTAGGACTAAACCAGGTCTAAAACCAGGAATAAACCAGGTTTAAACTAGGACTAAACTAGGACTAAACCAGGACTAAAACCAGGACTAAAGCAGGTCTAAAACCAGGTCTAAAACCAGGTCTAAAACCAGGTCTAAAACCAGGACTAAACCAGGTCTTAAACCAGGTCTTAAACCAGGTCTAAAACCAGGTCTAAAACCAGGTCTAAAACCAGGTCTAAAACCAGGACTAAAACCAGGACTAAAACCAGGACTAAAACTAGGACTAAACTAGGACTAAACCAGGTCTAAAACCAGGAATAAACCAGGTTTAAACTAGGACTAAACCAGGACTAAACCCAGGACTAAACCCAGGACTAAAGCAGGTCTAAAACCAGGTCTTAAACCAGGTCTAAAACCAGGTCTAAAACCAGGACTAAAACCAGGATAAAACCAGGACTAAAACCAGGACTAAACTCTGTTGAATTTGAATTCTATTGTAAAAAGAACGAGTGTGTTCAGCTGTTATATCTGCTAAAGGTGGACACTTTCATGAATCAAAAGTTTAGAATTCATTTTGGTCAACAGTAAACGTTAGAAAAATGGAAAAAGTGTAGTATATCTCCCTGGTGACAAGTTACACAGTGTATGTTTTAAGGAGACCTGTACTCAACAATACTCGATATAATATTCAATCATTCAGTACTGGTCTCATGATTCAATTCACATGTTCGTTTGATTTGCACGTGTCCCTCCATGTGCTTTGTGCTGTCATTTATTTTGGTCCTAAAGAGAAACTGTTACCGCGGCGTCCTCCTCAAATGCAGCAGAAAATCTCTCCATAGAGACTTACGGCTGAAATATTCTAACAGAGGACTCGGGAGGAAAATAAATCATCAAATCATCATCAAAAAAGGAAAAGTCTGATAGTTTAACTCCCCAACCAGTCTATATCAAGAACAGACTGGTACATTATAAAACGTAAAATAGCCTGAGAAAGCTCTGTTCTTATTTTCACTGAATAAAAATGCTGTGAATCATTGAACCAAATGAACTAAAACACTTAAAAAAATACTGTATTTTTTGGACTATAAGACGCACTTAAAATCCTTTAATTTTCTCAAAAATCAACGGTGCACCTTATTTATTAATTCTGGTTGTGCTAACTGACCTCAAACCGATTTTTATGTGGTAAACAGCGCTCAAAATGTTTTAGTACGACTTTGGTAAACTACGAAGCCGCACCGCTTGATGGATTGTTGGACAATTATGGCTACAGTAGTCGGGAACCTCACCGAGTAAAGCCCAATTTACGGTCCTTAGTCCGACAGAAGCTGAATCGCATCAGCGCACAAGGAGCGAGCTGTTTTTTTCAGCGCTTATAGTTTATGCAAACTAACCATGTGCTCAATGTATATTTGAGTCGTCCTTGTAGGAAATTAAAAAAACAAACTTAAATTATCCACCCACATTCACATTCATAATAAACATTCACCAAGACAGGGAGGCGACGCCGGGCGAGTTAGGCCACGATCTGCCAATGGATCGTGGCCGCCTGGACTAAGGGATCAGTCTCAAGTGTCGTCCGTTTGTTTCGCTTAACCCGCTTTATAATCCGTTGCACCTTATGTATGAAAATAGACGACAGAATTCAACATTATTGATATTGCACCTTATAATCTGGTGCGCCTTATAGTCCAAAAAATACATAAGATTTTTTTCTTTTTGAGTCTTAAAAATGTATCGAAATCAAATCAATATTGTGACCCATGTATCGAGATACGTATCGAATCGTGGGAAAACTGTATCTAAATTATAGTTAATGTGAAATATTGGATATATGATGTATGCTGGCCTACGGGAGTCTGGCCTAAGTCTTCGGTCAGAAAGACTGCAGCGGGATCCAGAGTATTGATGGTTATGATTGTGTGATTGTGATTGTAATTGTGTGGTTATCTAGAACAGAAAAAGAAAGAAATATATACAAATAATTAGAACCGTACACACACCAATAATAACAAATATACAAAAAGAATACAAATGAACATATTAATTATACCATATGAAGAATGAAAGGTATTGGTCCGTAAGTGCACAATATTGGGAGTGGCAATGTAAGTCCAACAGGTGGCGCCAGAGACCACCTAATAACGTCATGAATAATTAGCAGAATGCGTGTTTAATGGCGGATTGGGTGGTAAATGACAAAGTTATAATAGAATAGATTAAGCAGGATATAGCGAAACAAGCGATAAAAAATTACACACCAAACTGTATAGAACAATACATAAAACAATACTCACTTCTCATTTACGCACAAACGTGAACATTAACAGGAGAAAGACAAACGCGTGCCTTTCTCCTTGGCGCTTCCTCTGCGCACTGGCCACCTGCGCTACAGTGCACGTGCCAAGGAGAGGCGGTAATGATGTCCTCGTAAAGGGAGCGTTACGGCAGGCAAATTTGCACGGTTAAAGTTAAATTATAAATGGTTGAAGGTGTGGTCTTAGTTTTTTTTTTACCATAACCAAAAGGATATTATAATTGCAACCCTATTTTCTTTTCTCATACAGTATATTGTAAAAGCTGATATTTTTAGAGAAAAAAACAACCTACATGTGCAATATTTTTTAAAACATGATTATGAAAGAAGTGAGTTGTTTAAATTTCCATGAAGGCAACTCTTATTTGACAATTGTGAAACTTGTTTATTTCATGTAAACATTTGCTACAGAGTGATTTTTTATGTGGGTAGGTTGATGCTAAAGTTAGAGCTGTCGAGAAACAAAAGTCTAAAGAGGTTTATAGAAGTGGAGAAGTTCTATACTCAGCTACTGTCTTGTTTTTAGGTTGATTTTGAGCTGCTCTCTGAAAGCCTGGCGCAGCTGGAGAGACGCTGCAAAGCATCGTGGGACAATCTGAAGGTGGTGGCCAAACACGAGACGAAGGCCACGCTGAAGAACAAGCTCACGGATTTCTTAAAGGACTGCACCCAGCGGATCATCATTCTGAAAGTGGTCCACAGACGAGTGATAAACCGCTTCCACTCGTTCCTGCTGTTTCTGGGTCAGCCTTCGTTCTCGGCGCGCGACGTGAAAATCACAAACTTCTGCAGAATCATCAGTGAGTTTGCCCTGGAGTATCGCACCTCGAGAGACCGAGCGCTGACCCTGAAGAGGAAGAAGGCGGCGCACAGGGAGAGGACCAAGACCAGAGGAAAGATGATCACTGAGGTAAAAAAATGTTTGGTTTCTTTTGTACCTGCCGACTTATACTAGATCAACTAAAACAAACAAAACTAAAAAAGGAAATGCAGCAAGAAGTAAATAGGAACTCTTACGGCCCAGAGTCCTGCACCGGGTTGAAATAAATAGTTGCTGAAACGGGCGGGTTTTAACGTTCTGGAATTTTACGGGCGGGTAGTGATTACACACGGGCGAGTCAGGACTAAAACAGGACTAACCAGGACTAATCTTGGACTTAAGAGTGAGAGAGAACCCCGAGCGAGTGAGAGAGAGCGGGTGACGGCTGCACTTACGTCCGTGCGTGCGGAGATCTGCTCCGGTCCTTTCGCCCGTGGTCACCCGACAGTCTACGTGGGCTCATCTCCGAGCCAGTCCCAACAGTGAGTCCTGGTTCAGTTCAAGTTTAGTCCTGGTTTAGTCCTGTTTTAGTCCTATTTCAGTCCTGGTTTAGTCCTCCTGGTTCTGTCCTGGAATCAGCCCTGGGTTAGTCCTGTTTTAGTTCTGTTTTAGTCCTGTTTTAGTCCTGGTTTAGTCCTGTTTTAGTCCTATTTCAGTCCTGGTTTAGTCCTATTTCAGTCCTGGTTTAGTCCTCCTGGTTCTGTCCTGGAATCTGCCCTGGGTCAGTCCTGTTTTAGTCCTGTTTTAGTCCTGCTTCAGTCCTGGGTTAGTCCTGTTTTAGTCCTGGTTCAGTCCTGGTTCAGTCCTGGTTCAGTCCTGGTTTAGTCCTGGTTTAGTCCTGGTTCAGTCCTGGTTCAGTCTTGGGTTAGTCCTGGGTCAGTCCTGTTTTAGTTCTGTTTTTTCTGTTTTAGTCCTGTTTTAGTTCTGTTTTAGTCCTATTTCAGTCCTGGTTTAGTCCTATTTCAGTCCTGGTTTAGTCCTCCTGGTTCTGTCCTGGAATCTGCCCTGGGTCAGTCCTGTTTTAGTCCTGTTTTAGTCCTGCTTCAGTCCTGGGTTAGTCCTGTTTTAGTCCTGCTTTAGTCCTGTTTTAGTCCTGGTTCAATCCTGGTTCAGTCCTGGTTCAGTCCTGGTTTAGTCCTGGTTCAGTCCTGGTTCAGTCCTGGTTCAGTCCTGGTTCAGTCTTGGGTTAGTCCTGGGTCAGTCCTGTTTTAGTCCTGTTTTAGTCCTGGTTCAGTCCTGGTTCAGTCCTGGTTCAGTCCTGGTTCAGTCCTGGTTCAGTCCTGGTTCAGTCCTGGTTAGTCCTGTTTTAGTTCTGTTTTAGTTGTTTTAGTTCTGTTTTAGTCCTGTTTTAGTCCTGGTTCAGTCCTGGTTCAGTCCTGGTTCAGTTCGTGTGCGGCGCAAAAATTCTGCATCTCGATCAGTGTTTCTTCTGCTCAGTAAATAAAGCCTGTGAAGTGTTGACAGTCGAGTCGTGTCTGTGAATTCGTATTCGTACTGAAGAAAGCTTAATCGTTTCATTTCATAATTGTAATTCTTGAAGTCGTAACGTTTCAGTTCGTATTCTGATGGACGCTTCAGTTAGAATGATTTTAATTTGTGTGTCATTTATCACCGGTACGGGCGGGTAACGGGTGGAATGTTAACAGGTCCTGGCGTGTGCGGGTTTAACTTTGATAAAATCACGGGTTAACAGGCGGGTGGGTGCGGGTCTCCAAAAATGGACCCATGCAGGACTCTGTTACGGCCCTGACTCAAAGGACCGCAACAAAATGAGGGAGGATACGACAGTGGGGACGTTTAACCTGTGAATGGGCTTTTATTGTAAAAATACGAACAATGATGGTGGAGCGGCGGGGGCATCCTGGCGACGTGGCAGTGTGGCAGGCCCAGAGGATGGGGGGCACCTGGCGACAGAGGGGAGCGACAGGAAGGGACGGGGGAGAGCACAGCCTGGGCCGTAACAGGAACCATCTCGAAGTTGTATTTGGTGTGATTCGTGCACATTTGAGCAATGTGAATGTCATTCGGGTAGAATCCATGGCAAAGGAGAAATTCAATTTGTCAACTGAACATAAGTTTATTTGGTCAAATACATACAAATGTATTCAACCAAATAAAGCTTCTTCTTCAGTTCTGAACTGAAGAAGAAGCTTGGATGAGCTGCAAAATTCGACTAAATAAACTTTTGTCCAGTTGACACATTGAATTTCTTCTTTGTCATGTTTGAGCAATCTTTAATCACTTATTTTTAAAACACCATTTTGCTGATCAACCCTGTCTTCACAGCAACTGGTACTCGCCCACTCCTCTGTACTTACTTCATTCTCGCATTTTCTTAATCACTGACACACGTAGGAGTCGGCAGTGTTTGTATAAAAGAAAAAAAAAATCTGCTGCTCACTAGTGTGATCTGCAGCTTTCCATTAGAGTTACAGAATCTTCATTGTGATGGCGTTCACAGCAACGTCGTCTCCCATTGGGAATCGCCGTTTTCTTGTTTCTTTTTATTAAAATGCACAAAATGTTGTAGATTATAACTATACAGCAAACTCAAGCACAATAAGTGTTCTTTAATTATGGTTCAGTGAATCAGATCTCCAGTTCCTAGTGGTGGTTAAAGCTGTGAATGATTCCTCCTAAAGTTTGGAAGAATTAAAAATAGAAATGAGCGAGATATTGGTTCCATTATTTTCAATATTTTGATTTGAGTGTTTCCCAGCTGGGTCCAGTATTGAATTTCCTATTCTCATTTGAGCTGTTCCTCAGAAATTCAGCGGCAAAAAATACTGCTCACCACACTGCTCACTGTAACTACATTTCTGGGCCTTTCTTAGAACTTAAAAATGTTAATATCTGCTTAAAAATCAGTTTCCAATTAAGGTTTAGTTGACTTCTAAGAGATGTTTCTGTAGTAGCAGTGTTCATTGGAGTAATCTTGTGTAAAAACGAATTAAAAGACTAAATTAAGTATTGATTGTTTTCAGACGGAGAAGTTCTCGGGGGCGGTGCCTACGGACAGCCCCGCCCCCGTCTCCATGGCGGCGGACGTGGAGGCGGAGCAGCAGGAGGAGCACGAGAACATGAGGAACCTCCTGATCAGCAGCGGGGCCGACAGTCTGACTGTGGGACAGGGTCTGAGGAGGTCCAGGGCCGTGCGCAGTAAGACGACTCACATATCCACGAGACTATTATCACATAAAGAAACACTGTGGTTTAGGTGGTAGGGTTATCGTGTTATAACTGGGAGGTCGGTGGTTCAATTCCAGCTTCTGTGCATCCTGTTGTTGTGTCCTGTAGCAAGATTTTTGAGAGGTTTGGGGTCGGAGAGTTCTTTGGAACAGATCAAACAGCACATCTTTGGCAGTTAAAGCCAGTATTAGACTGGAAGGAATTTATTTAAGACGGTTTTACTTCTTATAATCAGTGGCAGCGCTACCATAAGGCAAAATAGGCGGCTGCTTAGGGGCCCCAAACCTGGAGGGGCCCCCCACACAATTTCCCTCAGTGTCACAAATGGCCGAGGCCTCAGTGCAATTTGATTTTCTGTCAATATGACATTAAGTAAGAGTAGTTTACTTTTAAACAATAATCATAATGTAAACAAAAATGTAATTGTACTAACAAAAAAAAAACAAACTTTCAGTTCTGGTTTTCTAGTAGGCAACTGAACTAATAAGACAAGTTTTCAATCCACCATAATTCAAATAAATGGAGATGTGCATGTCTCAAGAACAATGGGGAAAACAGACAATAAATATATAAAAAAAAAAAAAAAAAAAAAGTGAGGGCCCCAAACTCAAGTTCACCTAGGGCCCCCAAATTGCTAACTTTGCCACTGCTTATAATATGGTGTAGAAGCAACAATTTGTGAAAAAAAATCTAACTGAATGATATTGACTGTACGTTTTAAAATGCATTTTGTTAGATAAGAACCACAAGGAAGCAACTGCCAAATACTGACAAGATCCTGTTAGAATAGAACCATTAAACAGCTGCCTGTGACTCCAGACAGTTTTATTTCCACCAGAATGAGAGAAAGGACTGAGTGGGCGGGACAGTTCAGACTAGTGGTGTGCAAAAATATCAAAATATCAAAATATCGTATTGTTTAATGTGATGATACAGTATCGATATCGTGGGCTGCTATATCGATATATCACTAAGAGTATTTTTTGGTATATTTTAATAAATTATTTTGTTACAGCTACAGTTTTGTTGCTTGTTCAGAGGAAGGAAACGTTTTTACACCAGACATTTGATATTTTCACTGTTTTTTTTCACTGGTTTAATAAAGACAAACATGAGTTAGGCTTTATTTTTTATTGAACCGTATCAAATCGATTTGAAATATATCATATTGAATCATATCAAATCGAAAATTTACTGTATGTATAATAACTTCTTAATGATCCCCAGCCCTAGTTCAGACTGAAACTTGTTTTTCACTTATGGGTCAAAATTTTGTACAGGTACTTTTTTGTACTTGTACTTTTATTTCACATGACAAGCTTCTTAAAAGTGTAGTATGCAACTTTCTGAAGGCCCCCTTCATGATTCAACTGAAACAGAAAGTTAAAATCATACTTTCTCATATTGATAAGTTGTGTAGTTATGAAAGATTATAGCCAAAGGAATAACTTGGAAACAAGGAGGAGGATGCCCTACTCCAGGCCAAATAACCAAAATGAAGGTGGAAACAGCTTTTATGGTTGTTGTTTATTGTTTGGCTAAAAAATTACATACTGTTGCTTTAATATTCTGAATATACCTCAAATACATGACATTTGAAATAATGTATTGACATATGACATAATGTCGCTATATAAACTGGTAATGGATTCGTCATTTGTAATTTTATGTTTAAGTTTAGACTATTTCTTGTTTTTTCCTCCCCACATCATGGAGTAGTCTATTGTCTGGCTAAAAAGTTACATACTGTTGCTTTAATAGTCTGAGATACACCTCAAATACCTCACTATTTTGGAAGTTTAGACCGTGTCTTGTTTGTTCCTCGTCAGGTCACGGCGGCAGAGTCAGTCCCTCTCACTCGGTTTCGTCTAAAGAAGACGCCAGCCCTCAGGACGACGCCACAGACGAGATCATGGACCGTCTGGTGAAGTCCGTTACCCAGAATCCCTCCGACCGACAGTCCAGCCCCAAGAACCGCAAACGCTCCCGGGTCAACAGGAAGTCACGTGAGTGCACGAGAACTGAACACAAACTGAACACAAATGCACAGAACACGACTGAAAATATATGAACAGGCACTGGTGCAGGACTAGACTAGAATGTGAATAGAACGGGACCAGAACGGGACCAGAACAGGACTAAAACAGGACTAAACCAGCACCAAAGCAGGACTAGAACAGGATTACAACAGAACTACAACGGGACTAGAATGGAACCAAACTGGAACCAAACTGGAATAGGACTAGACCAAGACTAGAGCGGGACTAGACCAGGACCGAACTAGACCGGGATCAGACCGGACTACACCGGGACTACACCGGGACTACACCGGGACTACACTGGGACTACACCGGGACTAGAACAGAACCTTACTAGGCAAAGACTAGAGCAGGACTAGACCAGAACGGGACTAGAGTGGAACCAAACTGGAACAGGACTAGACCAAACTACACCAGGACCAGACCAGGACCAGACTTGAGCGGACTACAATGACTACAATGGGACTACAATGGGACTACAATGGGACTACAATGGGACTACAGGGACTAGAACTGGACTAGAATGGAACCAAACTGGAACAGGACTAGAACAGGACTAAACCAGCACCAGAGCAGGACTAGACCAGGACTAGCCTAGGGCAAGACTAGAACGGGACTAGAACAAGACTAGACCGGGACAAGAATGGAATCAATCTGGAACAAGACTAGACCAGGACTAGACCAGGACCGGACTAGAATGGAACTAGAACTGGACTAGAATGGAACCATACTGGAACAGGACTAGACAAGGACTAGACTAGGGCTAGAGCAGGATTAGATCAAGACTGGAGCAGAACCAGACCAGGACTAGACCAGGACCAGACTAGAATGGACCGGGTCTAGAACGGGACTAAACCAGGACTGGAACGGGACTAGAATGGAACTGAACTGGAACAGGAATAGACAAAGATTAGAGACCAGAACGAGACTAGAGCAGGACCAAAACCAGGACCAAAACCAGACTAAACTGGGCTCAAAACAGGACCCAAAAGTAACAGATGTGAAAGCGCTCATTTACCTCGCTTAGACCTAGGCACCTAACTTGGCAAGGTCCTTCTAAACCAGGACTAAACTAGGACTAAACCAGGACTAAACCAGGACTAAACCAAGTCTAAGCCATGGTTACACAAGGATGAAGAAAGCACAATTCTGGCACAATAGCTCCTTTTTAAAGTTCTTTTTAATATTGCTTATTTATTATTGCTCTATTGTTCTGGTCTATTTTAATCACTGAGCCTCGAGGAACAAATTTCATTCTGTCTTGTTTTTTTCTTTTTGCATATTTGAATGAAAAACACAGAACCTTGAACGAATGAATAATCAAATCTCATATGACTAATAAAATACAGGCTTGTTGCTGGTCTAATTGGGCTTTAAGGTTTCTGTATTAAAGGTGTATTGTGTAACTTTTCGGTTTTTGGGTGTCCTTCCGTTGTTTCTTTGGATATGTCACTGCTCCACCTGGAATGTTCCACAGTGTGACATTAAACAGCTCTGCCTTACATTTATTTAACAACAGGTAGTTTTATAGCTCAAAAATACCTACAAAAACAAACATTCTGACTGAGCGGGGTCGCCTCTCCACAGATCTGACCTGTAACTTGGGCCGGTTTGGTCTCCATGAAGATAGAAAGGCTTAATGCCATACTGTGAAACATTCCAGACAAAGCAAAAAAAGGATTTGACGGACCCTCCACCAGAAGAGTTACACAATGCACCTTTAAACATAGTGAGACATCATACTTCCTATTGCTTATTCTAAAGTTATTTCCCAGAAGGTCACACTGTTAAACTTGTATTTTTAACTTCAACATTTGTCTATGTCCAAAACACCGGTATCTCCTGAGCTTCATATCAGTGTTTGGAGTCTGACACAAAAGTCCCTCGTGTGTCAGATTAAGATCAGACTCTTCACATGAGGTCAAAAAAAAAAAAAAAAAAAACTGACTACAGCAGTTTAAAGGACTCACATTACAATATCTATGTTATAATGTTGTTTCCTCATCACAAACAGACCCGGAGTTTGTCTTATTTCATTCACACATGTTTAAAACACAAACTAGTTCTTCTCTCAAACTGAAAACACTGTTCCAACTTGTGTTTTCAGTGCTCCGCTGTGTTTTTAAACTCCATTCACCTTCACTAGAATCATTTGAATGATTTCAGTCTTGCAGTTGCCAATCTCTGCTGAACTAAACGTAAATGTAGCTGTTCACTTGAAAACTACTACTACATGACATCACAAGGTGGAACAGAGCATTTTAGAGCTTTGGAGATGTAGACGGATAATAAAGAGTTACTCAAACTTGTGAATGGAACAAGCTCACAAGAGTCTGTTTTGAGTAATATGGAACCTTTAACCAACAGTATTTTTATAGCATCTGCAGTGATGCGGTCACTGTATTGGACCATTGTGGGTGAAGCAGGAGCTGAGCCGAAAGGCAAAGCTCTCGATTCACCGGTCAGTCTTCGTTCCTACTCTCACCTATGTTCATGAGCTCTGGGTAATGACTGAAAGGACGAGATCGCGGATACAAGCGCTCGAAATGAGTTTCCTCCGCAGGGAGGCTGGGCGCTCCTTTTAGAGATAGGGTGAGGAGCTCAGTCACACCAGAGGAGCTCGGAGTAGAGCTGCTGCTCCTCCACGTTGAGAGGAGCAGTTGAGGTGGCTCGGGCATCTGATGCCTCCTGGACACCTCCCTCAGCAGGTGTTCCGGGCACATCCCACCAGAAGGAGACCCTGGGTCTTGGGTGAAGGAAGTCTGGGAGTCTCTGCTCAGACTGCTGCTCCCGCGACCTGGCCCCAGATAAACGGAAGAAAATGGATGGATTGATCTATTTAAAGACTAGTTTTATATCTATTCATGCAAGTGTCATTGTATTTGTTTGGCCTTTATAATGTAGATTATTTATGACTTACTTAGTCATAGAACATAGCAACAATTTAAATAATTATCTCAACATTGACTGTTTTTGTCCCACAACCATTTTTTAAAGGTACACAGAGCAACCTTTCAGGTAGAGGGTCCTCCACCTAATTTTCTCCATGGAGATGTTATTGCTTTGCCTGTAATGTTCCACAGTATGCCTTAAAATCTATTCTATCTGATATCTATCTTACATTAAGTAAATTACAGGTATTTTTATTCCTCAAAAATATCCTTAAAAACACAATACATACAATACACGTGAACACAAAAAGATGCATTCTCACTGTCGGCGTAGTCGCTTTTCCATAGATTTGACCTGCAACTGCAAATTTTGGAAAAGTTTAATGCCATGCTGTAGAAAATTCAAGGCAAAGCAAAAATATCTCCATGAAAACAAACAGCTGGCATCAGAAAAGTTACACCGTGTAGATTTAAATAATATTTACCTCCGCCAAAGAGGTTATGTTTTTGCCGGCGTTTGTTTGTTTGTTTGTTTGTTTGTTTGTTTGTCTGTTAGCAACATAACTCAAAATGTTATGGACCGATTTGTTGGGAATGTGAAAAGGAAGAACTGATTTCATTTTGGGGGTGATCCGGAAGAAATCCTGGATTCTGGATCACTTTGAAATTTTAGTTAACATTGTGGTAAATGGGGCCAAAAATTTTGTTTCTCAATATCTCGTTAATTATTGACCAAACCCCATGAAATTTGACTCAGGGATGAACAATGGGATCCTCTTTCATATTCCAAAGGCTGATCCGGATCTGATCCAGAAGACTGATTTTATCGCAATTTATATAAAAAATGGAGGTAGTCCTTGGCGGAGGTCTGCGCTCTCTGAGTGCTTTTCTAGTTCCTATTAGAATTGAGAAATAATGCAGTGTAATTTAATGTAAACGTGTTTTTTTCAACTTAAACTTAAACTTGTTAATAATGATAATGTATTTTTGTGTGTGTTTTTCAGTGCGGCGGACGTTGAAAAGAGGCCTGACCGGAGAAGTGGTCCAAGCTTTAGGTCTCAACCAGAAAACTCAAAACTCAAATATTTAAACAGTGAAATTATCGCTATATTTACCTTTTTATCGATCAAAGGACAAACACGATCAGTAACACACACATGGACTCATAACCGGGACGTCACGTAAACCTGCTTTTAATGGACAAACCCAACGCACTTTGCACCACTGTTGCTTAGTTACACAATGTTAAAGACTTCATTCACACTTTTACCTGTGGCTGTTTTAGGTTTATGAATTCAAACACAAGCACTAAGCCAAGTTATTTAAGGTGTTGTTGTTTTTTCTTTTTCGTTAAGTTATTGTGAAATAGATGTTTTTTGTGGAGTGGTTTGGATTTGAGCAAACTGAACAAAAAAAGTCCTTAAAAAATCTCTCGAAGCTAAAACGTGTGCTGGAAATGTATTTGCCGTAATATTATGAGATGTTTCTGCCATTTTAAAGCTACATTGTGTAACTTTTCTGGTTTGTTGATACGTCACCTGTTTTTTTTTTTCCAATGAGACGTCACTGCTTTGCCTGAAATGTCCCACAGTATGGCATTAAACTCATCTGTATTGCCAAATTACTTCGAAAAACGTTCTTTGCTCAGGTCTTCACGGATTTGACCTTTGCTTGTCTCCATGGAGATGGATAATTTTGATGCTATACTGTGGAACATTTAGGGCAAAATTATAATATTTACATGCGGGTGGCGTACCGTATTTTTTGGAGTATAAGTCGCACCAGCCAAAAAATGCGTAATGAAGAAGAAAAAAACAAATATAAGTCGCACTTTTTTGGTAAATGTATTTTATAAAATCAAATCAGGAACCGACATTTTATGTTGAAAGGCAAATTATTGTAAAAACAATAGAACAGAGAATAACAGGCTGTTAACGTCACATATGAACAGTTCTTCAGATAAACTATAACATAAACAACAGAACATAAATTTACCAAACTCTCCATCTCACTCCAAATCACTCAATCCATTCAATTCTTTATCCTCGGTGTCACTTTTGCGCAACCTCCAGAGATAAACTGTAGATCCATGAGGTAAACAGAGCGCCGCTTCCTCTTCTGTGTGGCTGTCGTCAGACTCCGCATCAGTTCCAGTTAGAATTATTCCAGCTTTTCTGAATCCCGACAGGATGGTTTTGGTGTCAATGAAGTCCAGGCTTTGTCGATTCATCCAGTGACTTCCAGGAAAGTTGCTTGGCGCGTCTGTCCAGTTGCCGTGAAGCTGTGTTCTCCGTCCCCGCTTTCCGTCAGTCCCTCACAAGTTTCTCTCTCACTCCAAACTTTCTTTCTGCTGCTCGATTTCCGGTTTCGGCTGAATGTTTCACTACAGGACAGAGGCTTTTTCTGCAGGAGACGTCCGCAGAAAAAACTGACACACAAGCCTTGAGCCTCTCGTGTCTGTCAGTGTGAAAATTTAAAAATATAAGTCGCAGGAAACACCCAAACCATGAAAAAAATTGTTACTTATAGTTCGAAAAATACGCCAGTCTTCAAGGTTTCAAGTTTTTCAAGTTGACAGCGTCACAGAAGTTCAGGCTTTGTCGATTCATCCAGTGACTTCCAGGAAAGTTTCATGGTGCATCCGCTCGGTTGCTGTGAAGCTGTTTTCTCCACTTTCTCCCAGTCCCTCACAAGTTTCTCGCTCACTCCAAACTTTCCTTTCTGCTGCTCGATTACTGTTTTCAGCTGCGTATTTCACTACTTGCAGCAGGACAGTGGTACAGTAACAGTAGCAGCAGATACTGACACAAAACCCTAGAGCCTCTCGCGACTGTCAGTGTCAAAATTTTAATACATAAATCGCACCGGAGTATAAGCCGCAAGAAACACCCAAACCATGAAAAAAAGTGCGACTTATAGTCCGAAAAATACGGTACGTCTCTGTCAGAAAAGTTACACAATGCACATTTAATATCGTTTCGTTTTAAGATGTTGATACAATTTTAAAATAAAGATCTAGAATAAATAAAACAGAAAATGCTTTAATGCCTACTAAGCTATGCAAAAGTGATTAAAAAACTGCATTTTTACCAAAGATTGAAAACTGAAGATGCAATAAACTAAAAGGGAACTTACTAATTGAATGTAAAAAATGTGTTGTCTATGAAATTGACTTTTTTTTTGTGTGACTATTTTAAGCTATGTATTTCTCTCCCAAAGGTCACAGACGACAATAACTGTTCCTATATATTGCCGAATAGGTATAAAAAATAAGCATATTTTCTACTAAAAGTAATTAAGGAAGTCAAACGAAAGCTAAATTAAAAGCGAGTGAACCTGAATGCAAAAACGTGTTGTAATTTTTGTGAATTTGTGCAATGTTGTCATTCTGAAATTTGAATTTTTTAATGAAGGGAAATAAATAAATGTGCTCACTAGTTTTACGAAATCTGGATTAGTTCACAGTTACTCTTCTGAATTTGCAATTTCCTTACAACTTAAAAGTGCTCTGTGTAACTTTTAACCTGCTTGTTTCTATGGATACGTCATTGCACGGCCTGGAATGTTCCACAGTGTGACTTTAAACAGCTCTACTTTACATTTATTCACTTAGAGGTGTTTTTATAGCTTCAAAAAACAACATTCTGACTGTGAGCGGGGTCGCCTCTCCACAGATCTGACCTGTAACTTGGTCTGTTAAAGCATCTGACAAGAATTTGACAAACCGTCCACCAGAAAAGTTACACAATGCACCTTTAAATCTCTAAAAACTCAAGATTATACGCCCAAAAACTGGACCATAACTCATTTTAAAATCCACAAAAACACACACAAATATCTGAAATATCATTGTTTATGTTACAGTATTTTCCTTTGTTACTGGCCGTGTACCAAAGTGAACACAATATTTGAGGGTTAATACTAAAAGGGCTTGTGTTTTATTGCACTTTGTATTGTTTTGTTTTTGTTTTGTTTTGCTTGGAAATACGTGGAAGTAAAGGATTTGAATCTGAATGCTTCGTATGAACTTCATGGACAATTTATAAAACGGTTTTAGATAATTAATAAAGATTTTTTGTAATGAAACATGCCTCGATATACAGTATTTTAGCACGTTATTGTTGTTGTCATTACTGTTATGAACACCAGGGGGCAGTGTTTGATAAAAATGAACTGTTTTGAGTGATCTTACCTTGACTTTCATTCATTTTTTTTGTACAACACGTGTATTATTGCCATGTTATGTGTAACTTTTCTTGCGGAGGGTCCGTCGCCTGCTTCTCTCCATGGAGATATTGCCTGGAATGTTCCGCACTATGGCATTACACCTATTTATCTCTACAGAAACAGGAGGGCCAAGCTCACAGTAAGTTTTTAAGTCAATAAAAGCACGTTATTGAGTAAATGCAAGATGTTTAATGTCACACCGAGAAATTTCAGAAGAGTAGTCGGACCCTCCGCCAGAAAAGTTGCACAGCAGATCTTTAGTTGCTCTATTTTAGCTTATCTAACTTGTAAACGTCGTACGCCACGTTATGCTCTTGACACGTATTTTTCCAGATCATGACCTCTAAGGAGAAAATTTCTGAAAGGGCTTGGAGTAGAGCCGCTGTTCCATTGTTTCGAGATACTCTGTCCCACGTAACAGACCTGGAATAAATCTGTAAAATGTCTCAGGTGAGTGGAGGTAAGAACTTTAATATTGTCACACTTTCGGGAGAATTTCTCTTGGGCGTACGGAGCTGTGTATCCGTACATCTGCGCAACAAACTCACACCGAAGCGCGCGGGCATAAATGAGACGTCTACAGTGTCATTAAGAGCGCGCAAAAGTACAAGGTGAGCAGAGGCGGGACCTTTTACACCTCAGAAGACTTAAGATTTATTAGCGTGACACTTCGTTCACTGATCCGAAGTTTCAAGTCCCACTCTCGGACGTAAACAACTTTGGTTGAGCGGTCAGATCCAATAACTCACAGGTTCGTTGGTGTGATTCCAGCTCCCACAGATGAATGCTGTCGTCGTGTCCTTGGGCAAGACACTTAGCCCACCTCGCCCCCAGGGTCTGCGTACAGTGGTGTGTGAATGCTTGTGCGTCTGTGTGCGAAGGGAGTGAAAGGACCGACGCAGAACTCCACGCTCCACAGAGCTAAAAGCAGCCGTCGTCTGATCGCACTTTGTGGACACCCTGCTCCACAGGCTCGGGGTTCTCTCAGGGGCAGTCCTAGATTCCAAGTCCTACTCCAAGATTAGTCCTAGTTTAGACTTGGTTTAATCCTGGTTTAGTCCTGGTTTAGTCCTGATTCAGTCCTCTGTTTGGTCCTCTGTTTAGTCCTCTGTTTAGTCCTGGTTTAGATCCTGGTTCAGTTCTCAGTTCAGTCCTGGTTCAGTCCTGTTTTAGTTCTAGTTTAGTCCTGGTTCAGTCCTCTGTTCAGTCCTCGGTTCAGTCCTGGTTTAATTCTGGTTCAGTCTTCGGTTCAGTCCTAGTTTAGTCCTGGTTCAGTCCTCAGTTCAGTCCTCGGTTATTCCTGGTTTAGTCCTGTTTCAGTCCTCTGTTTAGTCCTTGGTTTAGATCCTGGTTTAGATCCTGGTTTAGATCCTGGTTTAGAGCCTGGTTCAGTCCTCGTTTAGTTCTGGTTCAGTCTTTGGTTCAGTCCTGGTTTGGTCCTAGTTTAGTCCTGATTCAGTTCTCGGGTCAGTCCTGGTTTAGTCCTGCTTTAGATCCTGGTTCAGTCCTCTTTTCAGTCCTGGTTTAGTCCTAGTTTAGTCCTGGGTTTAGTCCTGGTTTAGATCCTGTTTCAGTCCTGGTTGAGTTCTGATCCAGTTCTCGGTTCAGTCCTGGTTTAGTCCTAGTTTAGTCCTGGTTCAGTCCATATAAGGCGCAAAAGTTTGGCATCTTGGCACAGTTATTTTCTTGAGAATAACTGTGCTGTAAGTAATATAATATTCGTGTAATGTCTTATATTTTCAATGCAGTAATATTGTAATGTTACTTGGTGCAGTACAGTTGGTGGTGGTGGGCTTCTTTTCTAGTTTTAGCTTTAAATTTACTTTAATGAAAATATCTTGTGCTTTATTCAGGTATTTAGTATTAAAATAAAGACCTTGAAAGTTTTAGTTCACACTCACCCGAATTACATTAACTGTGAACTACAAAGTTGATATAAAACTGTTTAATAATAAAAAGTCCTTTCACTTCCTGCTCTAACTTGCAAAACTGAAACTTCTTCTTTTTTCTTGTATTATGACTGAAAAAACCTTGACATGTTTGGGTGATCAGACGTCTGAATCTTTTGAAAAACACCGAGCAGTAAGTGAAAAAAGAAATGTTCTCGGTGACCAAACAGGATTCGTGTGTTCTCTGGATTTGACTGATACATTTATGCAAGTTCAAGACGAGGGAAAACAGTTTTAACTCGGCCAGGAGCTCATAAGTCTGTTTAATATAACATGTTCCCTGATTATTTTAACACTTAGTTCTGTATTCACATTATGAGCAGTGTTGGGAAGGTGACTTTTAAAATGTTTTCCCCTACAGATTACAGATTACAGATCCCAAAATGTAGTTTGTAACGTAATCCATTAAATTACTTAAAGTGAGTAATGTAATCTGAATACTTTGGATTATTTGATTTGCTGTAGAAGAAGCAAAGACGAGGAAATCTTCACATAAGAAGTTTTGTCTGATAAAAGAAAATAAAAATCCCAGACTTTACTTGAACCAAATTAAAAATATTATTGATAGAAGAGGAGGAGACACGGTCCGCACAGCATGGTTTAGTCCTGTTTTACACCTGGTTTAGTCCTGGTTTAGTCCTGGTTTAGTCCTGGTTTTAGTCCTGGTTTTGTCCTGGTTTAGTCCTGGTTTTGTCCTGGTTTAGTCCTGGTTTAGTCCTGCTTTAGATCTAGTTTAGATCTAGTTTACACCTGGTTTAGTCCTGGTTTAGACCTGGATTAGTCCTGTTTTAGTCCTGGTTTAGTCCTGTTTTAGCTCTGGTTTAGTCCTGTTTTAGTCCTGGTTTAGTCCTGGTTTAGATCTAGTTTAGATCTAGTTTACACCTAGTTTAGTCCTGGTTTAGTCCTGTTTTAGTCCTGTTTTAGTCCTGGTTTAGTCCTGTTTTAGTCCTGGTTTAGATCTAGTTTAGATCTAGTTTAGTCCTGGTTTAGTCCTGTTTTAGTCCTGTTTTAGTCCTGGTTTAGATCTAGTTTAGTCCTGGTTTAGATCTAGTTTAGTCCTGTTTTAGTCCTGGTTTAGTCCTGTTTTAGTCCTGGTTTAGCTCTGGTTTAGTCCTGGTTTAGATCTAGTTTAGTCCTGTTTTAGTCCTGGTTTAGTCCTGTTTTAGTCCTGGTTTAGATCTAGTTTACACCTGTTTATTCCTGGTTTAGTGTCCGGGCAATGAGTGGAATTACCGAGAAAAAAAAAAAAAAAAGGGGGTTATAGCCCAAAATGTGAAAACAGGAAAATCCCGCCGTGTAATCCATTTATTTCATCAAAGTAACTGTAATCCAATTACCACTCACTGAAACAGTAACTGATTACGTAACACCAGTACATGTAATCTGTTACTCCCCAACACTGATTATGAGTCTCCAAGTTTAGACACCTTAAACTCCATTTTTACATTTTTTTTTTTTTTTGCCGTCTGTTTGCCTCCATGTCATTACTTTGCAGAAAATGTTCCCTAAATTTACCCGTGTCCATGCGATGCCACCGTGCCAGCTTCCATTTCAGATCTGTGGAGAGGTGCCCCCTTGTTTTCTTTACCAGAGAAGTTACACAGTGCAGCTTTAAACACTGTTCTTAACCTGCTGTAAATACTGACCTGTGAATCTAAGTCTCGATACAGTGAAATATTAAAGACACTCGTGACATGGACTCGAGTCAGACTTGAGTTATATTTTTATGACTTGAGACTTGACTTGATGAAATGGACTAAAACTTGGGACTCGACTTGGACTTGAAGGTCAGTGACTTGGGACTTGACTCGGACTTGAGGCCTGTGACTTGAGAAGACTTAAGAAGCACAGGACATTATAGTTTTAGTTTTTTTTGTTTTTTTTTTTTTTTTTTTTTAAAACTTCATCCTACTCCTTTTGAGCACCCGGTTCCAAATATGTACATATCCTTGTTTTGTTTTTTGTGTTTAGTGTTGTTGATTTTGTTTTTACGTTGCTCAAACAAATAATAGCAAAAAAAGAAGAAAAAAAAGTATAGTAAGTATAATTTATCTTCAAAGTCATATAAATTACAAAAATCTAAGCTTTGGTTTAAAGACTTGCAATGGCTTGAAGCTCAAAGTAGACGGCTCAGACTTGACTTGGACTTGTGGGCCAGTGACTCGAGACTCGACTTGGAATCGTCTGTATTTGACTTGGGACTTGACTCGGACTTGAGGCCTGTGACTTGAGAAACACTTTTAAATCTGAATTCTTTCTATTCTGGCTGTAATTATTCACTTTAAGATTTTGTCAAGACATTTAAAAAGGAAAAATTTATATTTCTACAACTCTTATATACTCTATAAATACTCATATATAAATATACTATGATGTTTTAAATTATAATTCATCTTAAAATTCATAGAAATTGCAAAAATCTAAACTATATTTGGTATTTTGGTTTACAGACTTGAAATGACTTGAAGCTCAAAGCAGACGACTTGGACTTGACTTGGACTTATGGGCCAGTGACTCGAGACTCGACCTGGACTTGCCTGTATTTGACTTGGGACTTGACTCGGACTTGAGGTCAAAGACTTGAAGACTTGAGCAGCACTTTTAAATGTGAATTCTTTCTATTCTGACCGTAATGATTCACACTAAAATCTTGTCAAGACATTTAAAAAGGAAACATTTGCATTTCTTCAACTCTTATATACTCTATAAATACTCATATATAAATATACCATGATTTTTTTAAGTACAATTTATCTTAAGAGTCAAATAAACTGCAAAAAATTCAAGCTATTTTTGGTACTTTGGTTTAAAGACTTGAAAAGCTCAAAGCAGACGACTTGGACTTGACTTGGACTTGTGGGCCAGTGACTCGAGACTCGACTTGGCCTTGCCTGTATTTGACTTGGGACTTGACTCAGACTTGAGGTCAAACTTACTTGAGACTTGCAAAACAAAGACTTGGCCAAACCTCTGGTCGTTAGATTCATTTATTTACCATTTGTAGTGAAAAACCACACTGGAAAAACACGTGTAAAAAGCTGAAAGTGCCCCGTGAAACATAACAGATCGCTTTATGTTTCAAACAGACTGTAGAAGAAGATATTTTTTGTGTTTTGGAGGAGCTGCAGTGTGCTCTGAAGCAGCAGCTGGAGGATGATGCTGCTGTAGACTGAAACTGCAGTGTCATGCTCCTAAATACAGACACGACGCACAAGCACAACACGCTTTTAAAGGTCGGGCATCCGGATTTTATAGGGATTATTATAGCGTTTAATTACAAATACATTACACGTAAAACCAGCGTGAAGCAGCTTAAATATTTGTCAACACATTATAACTTTAAATGACCTGACACCTGTTGCTGAAAGTTGAATTAATTGCCTTTTACGCACAGACGCACGCACCCAATCCACGCGTCTTAAATGAACGCGTCACGTGGTCGTGTCGCGTCCCTCCCTCCTCGTGTCCCGCCGGTAATGCGCTTGCCAGTGCGCGTGTCCGTCGTCCGTGTGTGCGTGTGCGTGTGTGTGCGCGTGCGTCTCGGGTCCTTCCTCCTCCGGTCAGTCACGGCGCCGTCAATGAGGTGAGAGCGGCTGAGTGCGTATTTAAACCGGGCCATGGCAGTCCGCTGAGCCCCCGCGAACCATGCCGAAGCCCGGGCTGCCGTCCGCGCTGCTGCTGCTCGGCGTCTCCCTGGTCGCGCTGGGTCTCCTGCCCGCCTCCTCCGCAGACCCGAGCTCGGGGGATCGCGGGACTCGGGGACCGGTGGCGCTGGCTCACTCCGCCGCCGCCGCCGCTGAGGAGCCAGCTGTTCCCGGGGTCGGAGCGGAGGACGGGTCCGGGGAGCAGCATCAGCACCACGGGCACGGCGGAGGGTACAAGGTGGTCCAATGGGAGTGGAGCTACGTGCAGACTCCGTACATCATCGCCATCTGGCTCCTGGTGGCGAGCGTGGCCAAGATCCGTGAGTAACTCTGTGTCTGGGTCTGGACAATGAAACAACTGTCACTTTTAATGAACTTACTCGAGGCTTTAACGTGTTTTTCACTCGGTTTGTGGTGTTAAAACAGACATGGACATTTATCAACACGGAGTAACTGCGTTTTTCCTGCTACTACTGAAATCCTTCCCTGAAGCTTGTACAGTACTGACATCAACAGTGTTGGGAGGGTGACTTTTAAAATGTATTCCCCTACAGATTACAGATTACATACCCCAAAATGTAGTTTGTAACGTAATCCAGTAAATTACTTTAAGTGAGTAATGTAATCTGAATACTTTGGATTACTTGATTTGCTGTAGAGAAGCAAAGACAAGGAAATTGTAAATGTTTTGTCTGATAAAAGAAAATAAAAAGACCAGACTTTACTGAACCAAATTAAAAATATTATTGATAGTTTAGGTTTGGACCTGGTTTAGTCCTGTTTTAGTCCTGGTTTAGACCTGGTTTAGACCTGGTTTAGACCTGGTTTAGACATGGTTTAGTCTTGGTTTAGTCTTGGTTTAGTCTTGGTTTAGACCTGGTTTAGACCTGGTTTAGACCTAGTTTAGACCTGGTTTAGACCTGGTTTAGTCTTGGTTTAGACCTGGTTTAGACCTGGTTTAGACCTAGTTTAGACCTGGTTTAGACTGGTTTAGACTGGTTTAGACCGGTTTAGTTTAGACCTGGTTTAGACTGGTTTTAGTCCTGGTTTAGTCTTGGTTTAGACCTGGTTTAGACCTGGTTTAGTCCTGGTTTAGTCTTGGTTTAGACCTGGTTTAGACCTGGTTTAGTCTTGGTTTAGTCTTGGTTTAGACCTGGTTTGGACCTGGTTTGGACCTGGTTTAGTTTCCGGCAATTACTGGGGGAAAAAAAAAAAGGGATATAGCCGAAATGTGAAAACAGGAAAATCCCGCCGTGTAATCCATTTATTTCAACAGAGTAACTGTAATCCAATTACTACTCACTGAAACAGTAACTGTAACTGAATACAGTTACTCATAATTTGTACTCTGATTACGTAACTCCGGTACATGTAATCTGTTACTCCCCAACACTGGACATCACTTGTTGGGGTATTTTAAAAGCAAAAACATGTCGCAATAAATATCGTACCGTGACATGCATATCGTGATAATATTGTACCATGAGATCTGGATATCGTTACATTCTTGGGATTATGACGCAAATAATGCACACCAAAATCTTGTCAAGGTATTTTAAAAGCAAAGAAGTGTCATTATATCAGCCTTTACCAAAATATTGCAATAAATATCGTACCGTAACATGTATATCATGATAAAATTGTACCATGAGATCTGGATATTGTTAAATTCTTGGGATTTTGATGGAAATAATTCACACCAAAATAAAGTATCAAGGTATTTTAAAAGCAAAAAAGTGTCCCTATCTACAATTATATCAACCTCTTCAAAATATTGCAATAAATATCCTACTGTGACATGCATATCGTGATAATATCGTACCGTGAGATTTGGATATCGTTACATTCTTGGGATTATGACAGAAATAATTCACACCAAAATCTTGTTGAGGTATTTTAAAAGCGAGAAAATGTTATTATATTAGCCTATTCAAAATATCACAATAAATATCGTACGGTGAGATGCATATCGTGATAATATTGTACCGTGAGATTTGGATGTTGTTAAATTTTTGAGATTATGACGGAAATAATTTACACCAAAAAGTTGTTGACGTATTTTAAAAGCAAAAAAGTGTCCCTATCTACAATTATATCAACCTCTTCAAAATATCGCAATAAATATCGTACTGTGCCATGCATATCGTGATAATATCGTACCGTGAGATTTGGATATCGTTACATTTTTTCGATTATGACAGAAATAATTCACACCAAAAAACTTATGGAGGTATTTTAAAAGCAAAAAAGTGTTATTATATCAGCCTTTACCAAAATATCGCAATAAATATCATACCGTGAGATCTATATCGTGATAATATCATCCCAAATCTCACGGGAAAATCAAATCTTGGATACAAAACTTGTCAGGGTATTTTACAAGCAAAAACATGTCCCATCTACAATTATATTCAAAATATCGCAATAAATATCGTATCGTGACATGCATATCGTGATAATATCGTACTGGGAGATTTGGATATCGTTGCATCAACAGTGTAAAGATGAAATAGTGATTGACAGGACATAGGTTTATCTGTTACATAAGGCTGAGTTGTTTTACAGTTGCATATCGGTACGCTTTTTTCTTTTTTTTTCTTTTTTTGGTATTAAACCTTTCTATCGTCATGGAAACCAGACCAGACCACGTTACAGGTCGGGTCTGCGGAGAGGTGAGCACATTCACAGTCCGTATGAATGTTTTTCTAGGGTATTTTTGAGCTATAAACCCGCTTGTAATTGAATAAACGTAAAGTGGAGCTGTTTAACGTGAACCGGCCCTAAACAAAAGTTACACAGTGCAGCTTTAAGTCATATCTTTGCATATGTTCTTCGTCTTCGGTCCGTGCAGATTGGGTTCGTGGATTGAATTGTCCCACGGTGAATGGTGGGAGATAGGAGGCGGTGGCTGCTGTAGGGAGATTGGAAAACACAATAGAGGCTGAATAAATAGTTTTCCACAGCTACAGGTCGCTCAGATAAATCTCCACTTTTCAATTAAAGTCTCGGTTTGCGTTAAAGGGGCGGTTTGACTCCCATAATTCATTGCACGTTACTCTCTCTACCTCTGCTTTGTCTCGTCTCGTCTTTCGGTTTTTCTTTCTGTTTACTTCTCTCTCTCTCTATCTCCGTCTCTCTGTCGCTCTAATTAGTTCCTCCTGTGTTTTCAAAGTGTTGTTGTTCAAAGTGATGATTTGACTCCCATAATTCATTGCATGTTTTGGTCTCTCTCTCTCTCTCTGTACCTCTCTGTGTGTTTCTCTCTCTCCGTTTCCTTTTCTCTCCCCGTCTTTCTCTCTCTCTCTTCTCTCCTCTCTCTCAATCTTCTTTATCCTCCATCTCACTCTCTCTTTCTCTCTCCTCTCTCTCTTCTCTCCTCTCTCTCTCTCTTGTCCTCTCTCACTCTCTCTCTCTCTCTCTCCTCTTTCTCTTCTCTCCTCTCTCTCGCTCTCCTCTCACCTTTGCTCTCTTTCTCTCTCCTCTCTCTCTTCTGTCCTCTCTCACTCTCTCTCTTCTCTCTCTCTTCTGTCCTCTCTCACTCTCTCTCTTCTCTTCTCTTTCTCTCTCGTTTACTCTTCTCTCTCCTCTCACTCTCTCTCTTCTGTCCTCTCTCTTTCCCTCTCCTCTCTCTCTTCTCTCCTCTTTCTCTTCTCATTTACCCTTCTCTCTCCTCCCTCTCACTCTCTCCTCTCTCTCTCTTCTCTCTCTTCTCTCTCCTCCTCTTGACTCTCTTTCTTCTCTCTCTCTCTCTTCTCTCTCCTCCCTCTGACTCTCTTCTCTCCTCTCTCTCTCTTCTCTCTCCTCCCTCTGACTCTCTTCTCTCCTCTCTCTCTCTCTTCTCTCTCCTCCCTCTGACTCTCTTCTCTCCTCTCTCTCTTCTCTCTCCTCCCTCTGACTCTCTTCTTCTCCTCTCTCTCTCTCTTCTGTCTCTTCTCTCTCCTCCCTCTCACTCTCTCCTCTCTCTCTCTCTTCTCTCTCTCTCTCTTCTCTCTCCTCTCTCTCTCTCTCCTCTCTCTCTCTCTCTCTCTCTCTCTCTCTTCTCCCTCTCTCTCTCTTCTCTCTCCTCCCTCTGACTCTCTTCTCTCCTCTCTCTCTCTGTTCGTCTCTTCTCTCTCCTCCCTGTCACTCTCTCCTCTTCTCTCTCTCTCTCTCTCTCCCTCTGACTCTCTCCTCTCCTCTCTCTCTCTGTTTGTCTCTTCTCTCTCCTCCCTGTCACTCTCTCCTCTCTCTCTCTTCTCTCTCCTCCCTCTGACTCTCTTCTCTCCTCTCTCTCTCTTCTCTCTCCTCCCTCTGACTCTCTTCTCTCCTCTCTCTCTGTTTGTCTCTTCTCTCTCCTCCCTGTCACTCCTCTCTCTCTCTTCTCTCTCCTCCCTCTGACTCTCTTCTCTCCTCTCTCTCTCTGTTTGTCTCTTCTCTCTCCTCCCTGTCACTCTCTCCCTTCTCTCCTCTCTCTGTGTTTCCCTCTCACTGTATCTCTGTGTGCGTTTCCCTCTTTCTCTCTCCGTGTCTCTCTTTGTGTTTCTCTCTCTCTCTCTCTCTGTGTGTCTATCTCTCTGTATCACTCTCTCAGTTTCTCTCTCGCTGTGTGTTTCCCTCTCTCGCTGTATCTGTATCTGTGTGTGTGTGTTTCCCTCACTTCTCTATCTCTTTGTGTGTCTTTCTGTCTGTGTATGTGTGTGTGTTTCCCTCTCTCTCTGTATCTCTCTCTCTGTCTGTTTCTTTCTCTTTCTGTATCTCTTTCTGTGTTTCCCTCTCTCTTTATATCTGTGTGTGTGTGTGTGTGGGTGTGTGTTTCCCTCTCTCTGTGTCTCTCACTGTATCTCTCTTTGTGTTTCCCTCTCTCTCTCTGTGTGTGTTTCCCTTGCTTCTCTCTCTCTCTCTCTCTCTCTCTGAGTGTGTGTGTGTTTCCTTCTCTCTGTCTCTCTCTGTCTCTGTTTCCATCTCTCATTGTATCTCTCTGTATCTCTCTTAGTGTTTCTCTCTCTCTGTGTTTCCCTCTCTTCTCTCTGTATCTCTGTCTTTCTCTCTCTCTCTTTGTGTCTCTGTCTCTCTCTCTGTATCTATCTCTCTGTTTCTCTCTCTCTGTGTTTCCCTCTCTCTCTATCTCTCTGTGTGTGGGTGTTTCCTTCTCCCTGTATCTCTCTTAGTGTTTCTCTCTCTCTCTCTGTTTCCCTCTCTTCTCTCTGTATCTCTCTTTCTCTCTCTCTCTGTATCTCTGTCTTTCTCTCTCTCTCTTTGTGTCTGTCTCTCTCTCTCTCCATGTGTTTCCCTCTCTCACTGTATCTCTCTCTTTGTGTTTCTCTCTCTCTCTGTGTGTTTC